CAAAATAATAGGCCCGCTTCTATGAAAGCTGAAATCCAAGCCTTTGAAGATTATAAGAATCTATTGCAAGAGCTGATGACAGCAGAGCTACAAAGCAGAGCCGACTGTACATAAAATCTAAATATTAATATTGACTTCACATTTCAGTCCACTGAGGGGGGGGGGGAAGGAAGTCAAGTTCATATGGAATGTTCTTTAAAATTTATAACAAGGGCATTTTAATATTCATGCATAGGAACAGGCGGGGTGGGGAGTCAAAAGTTTATATGAACTTTTCTTGGCTGATTATCAAGGCTGGCAGACTGAAGGTGCAGTCAAAGGATATAGCAACCCATGAACAAATAAACAAGCCTTGTATTTAAGCACTAATCTGATAGCCACAGGTGATGAAGAATTGCATGCAGATAATAGAGAGCAGGCTGGTGGAGGAGTGCTGTATCTCTCCTCTGCACTCAGCAGAGCATCAAATACAAGGGTGATATCTATGCTTATTTCAAACTTACTAGGCTCCCATTCTTCTTCTTCTTCTTCTTCTTCTTCTTCTTCTTCTTCTTCTTCTTCTTCTTACTACTACTACTACTACTACTACTACTACTGCTATACCACCCTTCATGTGAGGATCACAGGGCAGTTTACAATATAAAATAACAGGCCTGTGAGAAGAAGGATGTTTCTGCTTAGCGCCTAAAGATCAAAGGGTAGTGAACACATAATGATTTACAGCAGAAACAAACAATAGCCAAGCAGCCCTTTAAAGACTTATGCAGATGGGCAGGGACACACACGCTTTGGCTACATCCTCTCTTGATTCCTGTAACTTGCTCTATGTGACAGCCACCTTGGAAAAGTGCACAGAAATTCCAGCTTGCTCAAAGAGCTGCAGCCAGATTTTTGAAAGGGGGTGGTTATAGGGAGCATTCAACTTTCTTATAATCGCTCTACTGGCTACCAGTCTGTTTCCAGGCATAATTCAAAATGCTGGTTATGAGCTATGAAGCCCTATTTGGCTTGGGTCCAAGCTATCTGAATGCCCATATTCCCTCATATGAACCTACTTGGGTTTGGGGATCTTTGGGAAAGGACCTTCTCCTGGTCCTGCCACCCTCACAGCCACCCTTGATAGGGATGTGGAAGAGGACCTTCTCGGTGGTTGATCCCAGACTCTGGAGCGCCCTCCCTGGAGAAGCTAGACTTACTTCCTCCTTGTTGTCCTTCTGCCAGCAGACTTTCTTGTTCCAACAGCCTTTTGGGAACCTGAATGCTTTTAATGAAAGGGCTGGGGCTGTGTTGTTTTTACTGTCACTGGTTGGCATCAGTCTTTCTCAGGAGACAATGGAGGAGTGCACTTTTGAGGGTAAAGTCAAACCACTGGGAAAGTTACAGTGCCTGCCATGGCTGGAAAGATGTCGAAGGAATGAATAAACTGGATCCTTGGGGAAATAATTTCCCATTGCTCTAGAAACAGATGGGGTAACTTGTTAAAAGTTCTGTGCGACACTGATAAGACTAGCCTATTCAAGCTGCAACCCTAGTCATACTAGTAAGTAAGCAATCTCTACTGAATTCAGTGGGGCGTATTTCTGAGTAATGTATGGCTATCGTGGCATGAACCAACACTAGAAATTGTAACTTGTGATGTGTTCTGGAATATATGGGTAAATATCCTGACCTCCTAAAGTTTAATGTAAACCTCAGTACACTAATCCTGTGTTACCAGCAAAATTTAATTATCACCTCCTATGGGAAAGAATGGCATTCTCCACAGACTACAGAATCTTCCTCCAATGGTAAACTCATGAAACAGGAGAAATATAATATAACCAGGGTCTTCTCCTTTCAACTTCAAAATAGTAAACATACAGGAACTTGTAGGAAACAAACAATGGTACTAAAAAATAAAGCTGTTATAACCCTCACTCATCCCTTTCCCATAAGGATACGTTGGCTCCAAATAATACTTTAATCCCCGATTCTCAATAGTTGGGTAGTTCAAAGCTCCAGTGGAACTCCCTGCTTCATGCCTTGCTGGACATGGACCAAAGGGCTGAGAGGGATGCTGTAGTCTTGCAGGCTGAGGCTATTGAGAAGAGCAGAACTCGAGACCAAAGGTACAGACCTCTGATCCCTAACAGGTTCTACTTTCTTTAGGACAGATATACCCATTCCACACCTTTCTTTAGGATAGTACAGGGATTATTTTTAACCTCATGGTCAAGGTGTGCATGCTGCCCAATTTGCTACCGACTTTTATTGTAAGCTTGCTGCCTGAAAACAGCAGCTGTATATGCTATCACTTCCATTTATTATAATAAACCAATCTTTCTTTATTCCTCTGGGGCAGTGGTCTTCAACTGGTGGGTTGGGACCAGTTGCGACCAGTGGGTCACAATCTGATTAAAGGGTATAATCAAGGTGTGGTGCAATAGGAGCACTACCAGTATACAAATATATGGTAGAAGATTAATAAATGGGTCCCTAAATGCATGTTTGGGTTAACAGTGGGTCCTGGGTCTGACAAGGCTGAAGATACCTGCTCTGGTGTGTGCAACATCTTTATGGGGCATAAGGATAAGAACAGAAACACGTATTTATAGTGGATGCATGTTTTAACTCCAGTAAGATTCTAAACCTGTTAGGAGTGTGCCTAGGGATATACAAGAGTGCTGGAAACACGTATGGGTGTAGATTCACACCTTGTAGCACAGCCGTCTCTGATTCAGTGACTGCCAGCAATCACTGCTTTTATAGTTTCATTCCATCATGAATTATTTCACGCCTAGTGAGACTTTGTTTTAAGCTGAAGCTCCTTCCACATTCCAAGCATTGATGTGGTTCTCCCCTGTATGAATTCTTCGATGGGAAGTGAGATGGTAACTCTGAGGCACTAATATTCTCAACTCTACTGTATCCAAAGAATAAGAAGGGGAAGAGAAAAGACAGGAGTCCGACTTATTTGTGGTGTCCCTTATGAATGTGAGAAATAAGTTTCAATATATAATATAAAATCACTTTATTAAAAATCGTCAGAGTTGAACTGCAAAATAGTACTAAGATTATATTACATTATTATACTACTTTTAAAAAAATATATCACCTGTCAAGACATTGGCATATATTTGCTCCACTCAATCCAGATGGTGGTGAACCATTATTTTATAGTTATAGATCAACAATATTTACAATCAAAACTCATTATACAGTTAGATTCCAAACCTATTTGTTTGCATAAGTGTGTTTCAATATTGTCCACAAAATATACATAGTTTAAAGCTGCTATCAATTGTAATAAAATTAAAAAATATATTTTAAAATAAAGTGAAAGAAGTGGAGAGGGTGAATAAATGCTGTGGATATCTCTTTTGGATACAGATCATATTCTCATTATGATGCAAACACAAATGGATAAGAATGAAAGCTACAAAGATATAACCATCAGGATGGATAAATTACCAACGAAGGGTATAATTTAACTAGCAGTGCCACTGCACAGTATTAATTAATGTTGATAGGCTGTGTGCTATTACACAAACTACAATGAACAACAGCATTAGGTTGACTGATCTTAACCAATGTGAATCATATTCAAAACATGTGACTTGTAGATAACTCTAAAGTAAGTGGGAAATCAAATGTTATACAAAAGCCTATTTGATTACTGCACATCTTGGAGGTATTTATCCTTTGGATTGTTTTCAGATCAACTAGCAAATACATTTAAAGCCTGTTCCACAATGCAGTTCCACAGAGCAGCAGGGCATGGTGCCCTACAGCTACTACAAAAACTTGCTGCCAGCCCTGGGGCTCAGAGACTTATCTGTGCCACCATGCTGCTCCTTCTAGCAACTTAAGGGAATGGTCCTAACAGTGTTTTAAATCAAGCCCAAATATTGCAATCCTATGCTCTTTTGTAACTCCCAATAAAGTCAACAGCATTTCCAAGTATAGAACTTAGGTAGAACTGCAGCTGTAATGTTGCAGTTTAATGTAAAAAGCCCAAATCATATAGATTTACGCATGTAAGGTGTCACACATATTTTCAGTTAGTGTTCATGCAGATCTAACCATGATAGTAAGCAGCATGATAAATATAGATCTACAGAATGGCAAAATTCAACAAACCCATTTGCAAAGTTAACAAGAATGAGACACCAGTAACAAATATAATAAGTGAGCTGGTGGAAGGGGAAACATAACCACCTGACATTTAACACTAGCAGATGTAAATATTTTGAAATACAAATTGTACAAAATAGGATTAATTTTCAACTATTTCCTTCAAATCACTGGAATAAGCCTTCTGACATATAGGTGAGGTTCCCCATCAGCAATTCAACTCTCAACTGGAGACTAAAGAGTCATTAGAGTTAAAAACACCAACAAAAAGCTATTGTTCTAAAACTCCCCAAACATCCTAGAAGGTCTAGACATAAAGCAACAACATAAATTATTTATGTACATGCATTATGAAAACTGAATGTTGTAGAGATATAATGTGCTTTCCATTTCTATGACAAAGACTCATGAAGTGCAATCAACTTGCCACTGCATCCTAATCGTTATAAAATAACGTCGATCTACTGATTCTCTCTGCCCTGGTGTGAAACATTCTTCAAACACTTTGCCATTCATGGGACAAAACTTTGGCTAGACCTCAGGGCAACTCTAACCTAGTTCTTACTGGGGAAGTAAGCTTCTGCTTGAGCTGTATCCCTTCAGACTGCAGGTGGTGGTGGGTGACATAACTAAATATTGCCCTATATACCACCTCAGGACAGCTTTCTGATGCCTCTACATACATTGTGGCTCTCGGGGTCAGGACATCAGGACTAAAGTGAGTCAAAGTACACACAATTTAGCAGCTACATAATTCATAGAGTAAATCAGTGCATTCAATTTAAGCTTAATTTTCTTTAAAACCATTTACATATTAACATTGCATATGCAGTCAATCTATTTCTGTAATGGTAGGAGTTTTCCAGTTGCATAGTATGATGGTTTTATTAATACATATATACCTTCTGCCTTTTTGTAATAACTGTGCAACACAAAGGACATTTGTCAACCGCATCCGCACAGTCCTTACAAGCAACAAGATGTCCACAGGGAATGAGGACTACTGAGATAGTTTTATCCATACAGATTTTGCAAAGCTTTTCTTCCTGCAAACTTCTTAATTTCTCTTCAGCACTGAGATCTAAGAAGGAAACAGAAAGTTACAAAAATTTCTTGAAATGTTTTCCCTCCTTAAACAAATATGACAACTTGATAAAAAAAGAGACAGCTGACAACTTAAATTAAGCTGATGTGGCATATTGGCCAAGAGTGCAAGTTGTGAACCTTTAATGAGCTGCAACTGCCCTCATTTACCAGGTTTTCTAGCCTCTGTCCCCAGTATATTGCCTTTCCTATTTTTGTTTATTGGGAGGCCTTTTAAAATTCCATTGGAATTTTACTAGAGTAGTCATCCTCAGTTTAAGTTTCAAACTGCTGACAATAAACTGTCCCTAAATCACTTTTTCTCACTTCTTTAACAAAAAGAACAGAGAGCCAGTTAGTCTTTAGATCAGTGGAGGACAGACTCCTGTATCAAAGGGAAAATAACATAGCACCAGATCAACTGTTTTTTGACCAACCTTTCAGCAAACAATAATTTTGTGTTTTGTAGCTACAGTCCATTTGAGAGCTTTTTTCCTTGCCTATTTCCTTGTTCTTTTCACTGAGATAGCTAATTTACAGCACAATCTTATCATGTCTATTCAGAAAGAACTCCAATTGAATTCAGTGGAGCTTAAAAGGTAAAGGTAAAGTTGACCCCTGACCATTAGGTCCAGTCGTGGCTGACTCTGGGGTTGCGGCGCTCATCTCGCTTTATTGGCCGAGGGAGCCGGCGTACAGCTTCCAGGTCATGTGGCCAGCATGACTAAGCTGCTTCTGGCAAACCAGAGCAGCGCACGGAAACACCGTTTACCTTCCTGCCGGAGCGGTACCTATTTATCTACTTGCACTTTGACATGCTTTCGAACTGCTAGGTTGGCAGGAGCAGGGACTGAGCAACGGGAGCTCACCCCATTGCAGGGATTCGAACCACCGACATTCTGATCGGGAAGTCCAAGGCTCTGTGGTTTAACCCACAGCGCCACCCACGTCCCTCAGTGGGGCTTACTCCCAGGTAAATGGGATTAGGATTGCAGCCTTAGCTATTGTTTGATTCTATGTTTAGAAATCAACTTGAAAATTCTCTGGAAGACTGGGTGAAAGGTACATTAAATAAACAAAGCAACAACTAATTTACCCCCACATTATGAGGATAAAACTACCAGCCTAACTCTTTGGAGACTATGCAAAGTAATTTGGCATACAAAATGTTTTGTACACCTGCCAATTTATGTTTTTTTAAAATAAATAAATAAATTTTGTTTTAAACTATAAAGCAAAAGCGGTAACAATATTTGCTTATCATCATGTTTGTAGAAACAAAGGAAAATTATCCAAAGATTACCAAAAAGGGGAATTATTCAACTGATCACCAATTTGTATGTCATCTTTCCATAGTCAAACCATACTAAGGTGGCTTACAACAGCAAAAAATAAACAACAGAAATGTATAATCCTCTAACAGTTACATATTATACATACATCAAAAACAATGAACTGACAAAAACATCTTGATAAATATACAATAAAACCAAGCAATCCTCAAGTAATACACAAGGTCTAACAATAAAAAATCCAAATGCATAATAGCAGCAAAATTAATGCATCTCTAAATTAAATCTTGACCCCCCCAATAAACTTCTAAACAACATACTGAGCAGCTGGGTCTTCCTAGACCAACATCAGAAGGAATGTTAAATGGAATAGCAGGACAAGTATTTTAAAAATGATAAATCAGTGAACACCAAGAGCATACCAAAAAAGAGATAGGAAACAGCTGTCAAAGCAGTCAGTCAATGGAGTAATGTGTAATAAAATGTTGGAAGGGTGCTGCTGCCCAAAATTCTGGTCACCAAAACCCCACTACATGTATCCATGAGCAAACACTCTGCCCTCAAGCAAAAATATATCCCATCCAGAGCAACTTTTCTTGTTCTCAACTCCCATATATGCTTTGGACATATACTGTGCTCACCTTTTTGCAAGGTGCTTTCCCAGGATGCACTAGGGTTATTATCTCTTTGGGCACTGATTAAGTCAGTGACCAATGTCTCAATAGATCTGTAGCCCTCTGCGGACAGATGGCATTTCCTTTCCACAGTGCTCCTAATTTCATCCAGGCTGAAACCCATGTGCATTGCATTCTGTACCAGCTGGTTCTGTAAAAGTTCCTCATCTGCAAAACCAAGAGATGAAAATATAATCAAAGCAAGGAAATTAACTGAGATAAAAATACAGCAGGTGTCCTGATATACTGAATTACTTTTAAAATACTTAATGGAAAACATAGTTTACAATACAACTTATCATTGTTCAGATACATGTAAGATTAAAACCGGAATGATAAAGTTTCCTGAAGTGCAGGTAGAGCTCCTAGAGTGCCCTAATGGCTGAGCTCTAGTCCTGTGGCATGACATTTAGTTGACATGAGTCAGGCTGGCCCAAGAACTATACGATCTATGCTTTTTGTTATGTGAGGACACTCAGGTCCAAATCCTTTGTTGGAAAGACTTTTCAAGTTCAGGTGAGGCTATCTGCTAAATTTTCCTTCTGCTAGGTGCACATCACATCCCAATTTCGTTCATCTTTTCAGACTCAAATTCTGAGGCTGCTCTATGCCATTTTTCCCAGATGCATTATTCCCAGGAACTCACACAGGAGCTGGCTCCTCTCTATTATCTTCTGCTTAAACTTTAGCAAGACTCATTCATTGCCTCTACCTGCCCTCCCTCTTCCCCAAGTGTTCCTTGCTGCAAACTGTATTTCAGATTTCCTTTGGGACTAGAAAAGACTCCACTGCAGGAATGTAAAGTCTCTCTTTGAGGAGGAGAATCTTTCTATGCTTCAACCAGATTTTTATGGTAATGTTGATTGTGGTTTTGCCATCTCCCTTACAAATCCAAGGAGAGGAAGAGAACAAACAAATACAGGAAGCTTAGTTTACTGAAGACCTCGTGACCCTTGTTAGGCTTACTGAGTTGCAAACTGAGCAGGACAGTTACAAACAATTGTATCCATACCTGTAAAATGTGAAAACTTCTCTGCTTCCTCTATCTAAACAGAAACACTGATATTAGAATGGATTTAATGAACTGTGAGCAGAATAGAAAACAACTGCTGGTGTTGTTCTGTAAAATCTTGTGCTAGAGCAGTTTATTACTATTATTATTATTTATTAAATTTCTGTACCACCCTTCATCCAAAGATCACATGTTGGTTTACAATACAAAAACACAAAAATACAAACCACAGTTACAAACACAATACCGTCCCCCACATTTACTTGCTACATTTAAATCAACCTTACCGCCAAAGCACTCAACATTTTAAAATAATGGTTTACAATCTAAGAGATGTGGTACGAAAGAAAGAGAAATAAGCAAATTCAAGTACCAACTACATCTATTGTTAGGCAAGGAAGTCACACAGTGATCAGGAGGAATGGCTATTACAGGACTCAGTACTGAGAGTGAAATCACCTCTCCCTCTGAGAAGTTACTGTGTTTGGGAATGGTTCAGGGAGGGGCCAAATGGTAGTTAGTTTTTTTAATAAAAAACAACAACACAGTGGAGAAGGGTAGATTGCACCATGGGTGGATTTAATAAATAATAATAATAATAATAATAATAATTATTATTATTATTTATACCCTGCCCTCCCCAGCCAAGACCGGGCTCAGGGCGGCTAACAATCAATAATAAAAACGAGTTGAATGAATACAACTTAAAAACAAAATTAAAATACAACATTAAAACATTAAAACAATTAAAATGCAGCCTCATCACAGGAGGAAAAAGGAAAAAGAAAGAGGGGGAGGGAATCAAATTGACTCCAAGCAAAGGCCAGGCGGAACAACTCTGTCTTACAGGCCCTGCGGAAAGAAATCAGATCCTGCAGGGCCCTGGTCTCATGAGGCAGAGCGTTCCACCAGGCCGGAGCCAGAGTTGAAAAGGCCCTGGCTCTGGTTGAAGCCAATCTAACTTCCTTAGGGCCTGGGACCACTAGGGTGTTGTTATTTATGGACCTTGAGGCTCTCCATGGGGCATACCAGGAGAGGCAGTCCCGTAGGTACGAGGGTCCTAGGCCGTGAAGGGCTTAAAGGTCAAAACCAGCACCTTAAATCTGACTCTGTACTCCACCGGGAGCCAGTGCAGCTGGAAAAGCACTGGGTGAATATGCTCCCATGGCAGAGACCCCGTGAGGAGCCTCGCTGCAGCATTCTGCACCCGCTGGAGTTTCTGGGACAGCTTCAAGGGCAGCCCCGCGTAGAGCAAATTACAGTAGTCAAGTCTGGAGGTGACCTTTGCATGGATCACAATGGCCAGGTCGGGGCGGGAAAGGTAAGGGACCAACTGCTTGATGCGGCGAAGGTGGAAAAATGTCGCCTTGGCTGTTGCTGTAACCTGCGCCTCCATGGAAAGGGTGGTGTCAAGGATTACACCCAAACTCTTAACGGAAGGCAATGGCACTAATTGGGCCCCCACAAGAGAAGGGAGTTGGTCCCTCATCCCCATACCATCCTGATCCAACCAGAGGACCTCTGCCTTCGAAGGATTTAGTTTCAATTGGCTCCCATGAAACCATCCAGCCACAGCTTCCAAGCATCTGGTCAGTGTGGCCATCCATCAGCAGATAGAGCTGAGTGTCATCAGTATATTGGTGACAACCCAGCCCAAAGCTCCGGACAATCTGGGCAAGGGGGCGCATAAAGATGTTAAAAAACATCGGGGAGAGGATTGCGCCCTGTGGCACTCCACACACCAAGGAGTGGTGCGACGACATCTCCCTCCCTAGCGCCACCCTCTGTCCCTGACCAGAGATAAAAGAGCACAGCCATTTACGGGCTATGCCCTGTATCCCCACGTCTGCGAGGTGGTGGTCCAGAGGATCATGATCGACCATGTCAAAAGCCGCTGACAAATCTAAAAGGGTCAGCAGTCCCAACCCGCCTCGATCCAGTTGTCTACGGAGATCATCTGTTAGGACAACCAGAGCCGTCTCGGTCCCGAAACCAGGACGGAACCCGGACTGAAATGGATCTAAAGCCGATGTTTCCTCCAGAAACCTACCAAGCTGTTCAGCAACCGCTCTCTCTATTACCTTACCCAGATATGGAAGATTTGAAACTGGGCGGTAATTGGATAGGTCTAAAGGATCTAGTGAAGTTTTCTTTAAGAGTGGACACACCACTGCTTCCTTCAGCTCCCCTGGGAATGTCCCCGTGCCAAGGAACAAATTGATAATTTCAACCAGGGAGGTCCGCGCGACATCTGGGCATGCCCTAATCAGCCAAGACGGGCACGGATCAAGGAGGCAGGTGGTGGGCCTACCAACTTGGAGGAATCTATCCACATCTGCAGGGAGTATCCGATCGAAATGGTCCAACACTGGACCCGAAGACAATCGAGGGACCTCCAGTTCTGTCACTGTATCTAAATTGGCAGGGAGGTCACGGCTGAACAGAAGGACTTTCTCCGCAAAAAAGCTCGTGAATGCCTCACAGCTATGGGTCGAATTTGTGCTTAAATTTGGCTGTCCTCCTAAGGACATTATTGACCTAATTATTCTAAAAAGTTGTGCCGGGCGAGAGCTAGCGGATGCAATGGAAGCTGTGAAGTAAGATTTCTTAGCAGCTTTCATAGCCATCTCATAGGCTTTCCTAAGCATCCTATAAGATGTTCTTGAAGCTCCGTCACGAGTCCGTCGCCATACTCGCTCTAGCTGTCTGAGATCCTGCTTCATTTTCCGAAGCTCCTTAGTAAACCAAGGGGCCCGGTTTCGGCGGGGTCACAGAGGGCGCTTAGGCACGATCTCATCAATGGCCGCCAAGAGCCAGTTATTCCAGTCCTCGACAAGGTCATCTAATGAGTCGCCAGGAGGAGCAGGGTCCCGCAAGGCCTGATGGAATCTATCAGGATCCATCAGCCTTCGTGGGTGAGCCCAAATAGGCTCACCACCCGAGCAGGGGAGGAGCAGGAAGTCAATCTTAGCTTTCAGAGCGTAGTGATCAGACCATGGCACTTCCACAGGGGGAGCATGATCACATCTATGCCAGGACCAAAGATCAGATCCAATGTGTGGCCTGCTTGGTGAGTGGGGCCCAAAACAAACTGGGAGAGCCCTAGTGTTGCCATGGAAGTCACTAGGTCCAGAGCCTGTGAGGATGGGGCGGCATCGGCATGGAACGTTGAAGTCTCCCCAAACCAGTAAGCTTGGGAACTCCAAGGCCCAACCTGCCACCACCTCCAGCAGGTGTGACAGGGTGACTGCCGGTGCGCTGGGGGGTCGGTACACCAGCCAGACAGCCAAGCTGTCCTTGGTGCCCCATACGAGACCAACACATTCAATGCCGGAGATCGCCGGTGCTGGCAGAGCTCTGAAAGAGCAACCCTCCTGGATTAACAACGCTACTACTCTCCCCGACCCACAGTCCGCGATTGATGGAGGACAGAGAAACCTGGGGGTTTCCTCTTTCTTACCTTTGGTAAGGCAGTGTGAGGGTTGGGAAGGACACCAAATATTGGACTTCCACAGGGCACCATAGTACCCAAGTCTGCCACTGGTTGCACAGGCAAAATATATTTTGCCTGTGGAACATTCTAAGCTCACATCAACACAATACATTTAAAGCACACTTAATTGGGATGGCTTCCCCCAAAGAATGCTGGAAAGTGTAGTTTGTTAAGAGTGCTGGAAATTGCAGTTCCCAGGACACCTTTGGGAGAAGTGATGTACTTTAAATGTATGGCGTGGATGTGATCCAAAGCAAGGTGTGATCAGGAGGTAATTTCTGCATGTAGAAGGGCGCACTTGTATTCAACCCAAGGGGGTAGAGGTACATGAAATAGATTATTGGTTGTGTTCTACTCAGGGAATACCTACTGAAATTAATGGACCTATGCTAGTCATGTCCATTAATTTCAGTGGGTCTACTCAAAGTCTGACTATATTGGATACAGCCCCATTTGTCAATCTGTAAATTGTAATCTTCAGGCTGAAGGAATGACCAGTGCTATTTTTAATAATTTTGTACACTCATGGATAATCATAGTCTAGCAATATTACATTGAAGCCCTAAAAACAATAATTTTAAAGTAGTATTGCAATTTATACAAGCCCTTTTTTTTATTTGAGCAAGTAAATTACTCTGCTGAGAACAGCATGTATTCTGGACCAATAGTTCTAAATGGAGTCTTATGCTCATTTACTATCCATGTTTTCCCCATCATCATCATCATCATCATCATCATCTTGCTTCCACTGCCACTGCCTGACAGGAACCACCACCAGAAGCAGCAACAACAGCAGCAACAGAAGCAGCAGCTGAGCAAGACTAAGGACATGGAGGTGGAAGTTGGAGGTGTTGTCAGTTCCTAAAGACTCCAGTCTCCACTTTGCCTCATTCCCAAATGAAGCACAAACCCTGGGTAAGCACCTGGAACCCCTGGAATCTCACACTGAAACAGTATTTTTAATTTTTACATTTTTATAGGGATGGTTTTTTCATTTCATTTCATTTATCTATGTGGATTTTTGTTTATTTGCTTTTCTGGTGGCAAATCACTTTCAGTTGTTTTTGGCAAAAGAAACCAACAAATAAATAATACTAATAATACTAACAATACTAATAATAAATTAAGTAACTTGAACTCAGCATATAGTAATTAACCTTTACAACAACATATGGAAGCACCATCTGTTCAAACATAGGCAGCTGGAGAAAGATGGCAAGATAGTAACCAAAGCCCTTTTATTCATTTGACTGGTTCAGTGAATTTATAGTTCAAAATTACATTTATCTTAAAATAGATTTTCAATGGAGGTATCCAGAAAGCATGGTTCCTGGGGGCAGGAGGGTGGGGAGAGTGGAGAAGACACACACTTACTGTAGAATCCTGTTGTGGTGTTAAATGAATGTTATTCACAAAGTCTTGCCCCTTTTCTTCTACCAGGTATTTGCACCTAGATGGAAAATATTTGAACTAAATAAAATTGATATCACCTAAAACAGTCTCATGGAAGAATGCACTTATAGTGAATCTGGAAGAACATAGTAGCCTATGAAAAAAGGTTCTTAATATGTTATGGAAGTGGAAGTTGACATAATTCCTTAAAATGTACACTGATCAGATTACCTGGAAGTTAAAAACCAAATTACTGCTTTAAATCATTGACAGGTGCAGTGAGTGACTGATTTGGAAACAACAAACAAACAAGCTCCCACCCTACCATGTTATAGTCCATCTTTTAATTTGCTTGCTAACAGTACAGCTCTCTTCTCACCCTTTCCTCAGAAAAAAGAGGCTTTGGGAGCATCAATCACAGATTCTATTTACCAACATAAGCAGTGAGGTCTCTGTTGGTCTGTTTCCATTCCATCATAGGGAGAGGGACAGTGCAGAGAGCAATCACCAAAACTTGCCCAGGATTCAGAAGCCCTAGAGATCCAATTTCTCCCAACTGCATCTCCCACAGAACTTTGCCTCCGAGCTGACAGACAGAACAACTCTTTCTGAGATGGCCGCGCTTTCCTACCAGGCTGCTGTCTGGAATGTCTCCACACCCCTCCCAAAAATAAAATGTTAAGGGAAATATTAAAGAATAGATTAGTGAGAAGCTTGCAAAGGAGGTCACAGAGCAGCTGGTTTAAATTCCAACATCACAGACCACTTTACAAATAGGTAATCTACATTTGCAGAGTCTCCTGAAAATGGAATGGAACCACGTGAAGAGTACTTATTAACATAAGTATACAATGTACAGTATGTATATATAGACACTAGCACAGATAACAGATAATACACATAGGGAGAAATGAAGTGACTCACCCAGGAAACCATTTTGCATGCTGCTCCCAAGGATCTTCATCTGTCTTCCACTCCTGTAATCCACCACCACAGTGAAAGCATGCAACGTTATCACCATTACCTGTGGAGAAGTAGGAATATATTCATGTATAAGCTCTTAATAAAACCTGCCTCTGCAAATATTTCTTTGAATGGAATGAAAGCTTATTATGCCAGGTGCCAGGTGAGCAGTCCTGGAGAAAATGATCCAAAATGGGGGCAAGTTTTGCCCTAATTAAATCAACTGTTTTCAGGCCTTTTCACCTTCACCTTCCACATTAATCTGTCTAGCATGCTTGCGCTGCAGACTCTGGAGTGTCTGGGGTGCACATTCAGTTTACATGAGATGCTGCTGATCATGCCTCTCAACTGCCTCAGATGAACAAGTGTGTGCCCCAAGACACATATGCACCCATTGCAGCAGGTAAGTTGAGGTAGACAAGCTGTATTTTAAAAGGAAACTTATCTATCATTCCTTATCTTTTCTCTTAGAACCCCCTATTTTATTTTCAAGTGGCTAGGAAACACTTTTCTCCGCTAAATAAGGCTGAATTTATACAAATTAACATACAGATATTCACATTTTTCTGGGGCGGAACCAAAGTTCAGCACAAATGAACTGTGCATCACTGAAAACCAGCATGTCCATATTTATGTCCTACCACATCATTTAAGGTAGCCTATTAAACTCTCCTATGCAGCGTAAGACTTTTACATTCAAATTGACTTTTGGTTTCTAAGAACAGGCCAACTGTAAATTTCTGTCATTAACATATTTTTAACTATCCCAAGTTCTTGGGATGGGGTGAATTTTAAGTAAGTTGGAAGAAAAAGAATCTGCACTAAATCAAATACAGTACATGAAAAGTATATCCTCTCCAATGCAAAGGACATAATAATAATTATGCACTTGAACAAATATTTCATTTGAAGATTATTTAGCACAAAAAACAAAAACAATGACTCAGTTGTTTGAATTATTTAAAAAGCACCAAATTTAGAATTACACACTAGTGTTAACATGTTAACAAGAGTTAGTCAAACTTGGTGGTCTAAAAAACAGTAAGAGAACTGAAAAAGGCCACTGCTTTTAATTCCATCATTTTGCTAATTTTATTAAGAGCTCATTGAAACCATGTTAGGCACTACTAATCATATAATGTCGTTTTCCCCCTTGAGGGATAGCAATACAAACTTTGAAGCTCTGTATTCAGCTTACCTAGGCTATAAAAGCCTGCTTGGGCAAGTTGCTCCTTGCTAACCAAATACCTCCATGTTGCAAATGTCTTGATTCGGTTCTCGTAATCTGCCATAGATGGAGTTTGGGGAAGGTCAGCATTATGTATGTCACTTCTATCCAGGCTGGTATCACCAGATTGATTTGAAACACTTCCAACATTTCCCACATCGTGGCCGAGGACAAAAAAACACCTAGGGAAGTGGCGTCTGTGCTCTGACCAAGCACGATCAGAAGGTTCCCAGTTTTTCAGTTTTCCTCCACAACAGAAACATTCAACTTCATCACCAGTGCCAGTGTAATAGAGTCCAGCATGGGCCAGCTCTTTCGGAGTGATAAGAGTATGGGAGGGCCAGTTGTGAAAAGATCTCAGCCTGGCTTCTTCACTACACATGGCAGGATTTCTGGGGTACAGAGAACCAGAGAGATCTACCACTTGCCCACTTCTCAAAAGATAATCTGCATAGAGATCAGAGGATGGATCAAGAGGGGTCTGGAGAGAGTCAGCTGCAAGGCTGATTTCAGTTCTGTGTGAACAGTTTGGGAAAACAGAATGCGTATCATTCTTCAGAATCTTAATGGCATTAATAAACTTGCAGTTTGGAGAAACAGTTCTATGTCTTCCAACTGCCGAGTCCCCATTTTGCCATCCTTCAATGGTTGCATGACAACTAAAACACTTTACTTTGTCTCCCTCTCCAGTGTAGAAGAAACCAGCTTGGGCTAGAGTTGAGGAGGAGATAGGACAGTGACTTGGAAAATTGGTAAATGTTTGTAGTCTGGAGCATTCTTTAGCAAGATCTTGGTCAGGATCATCCTCTGGAGTGGCACGAGCTTCACAGTTATCTGGTCCATTACATGTCATCCCTCCTTCAAGAAAAGGGTTTTCAAGCGTTTTCCTAAATAAGAACACATTTAAGTTTAGAATTCTAAAGGTATGAAATTTAATACTTAACTTTTATATGGGTTTTTGAGAGTTCAAAGTGCTTCATATTCATGATGACCTCCAGATGTTGGACTCAAACTCCCATTGACACCAGCCACCATCATGGTCAATAGCCAGGGATCATGAGAGTTGTAGTTCAATAACTTCTGGAGGGTATCACACTGGCTACCTCAGATCCAGCTGTAATCCTTAAAACAAACCTATAAACGTCTCCATTATTACCTTCTATTTTAGAGATTGTAAAGGGGTGGGCTTGCAGCTAAGTATCACTCCTGATGCCCGATCATAGCTGTCAATCTTCCCTTTTTCGGTGGGAAATTCCCTTATTCCAGCGTCATTTCCCGCTGCTATCCCGGATTGTTAGATATCCCGGAGACCGTCCACGGGACAGGTGAGGCAGCTGATCCCTTATTTTTGAGGCTGCTGATCCCTTATTTTCAAATCTGAAAGTTGACAGCTATGTGCCCGATTTGTGTGAGTTGATTCACTTCCCTAAGGACTAACCTGTTTGTTTTAGGCAGAATGTAGAAAGGTATGTCTTGTAGATAACAGCATATACCAGGCTCCCTCAACCTTGGCCCTGCACATGTTTTTTGGCCTACAACTCCCATGATCCCTAGCTAGCAGGACCAGTGGTCAGGGATGATGGGAACTGTAGTCTCAAAACATCTGGAGGGCCAAAGCTGAGGAAGCCTGGCATATACCAGCATAATGTAAGGCGGTGAATGAACCCTTAACGTTCAGTGAGTAGTTGAGACTACAGGCAGTGACTGTTTTAGGTGTGTCTGGTATGTGTGTGACTGCGTGCATCATGCCAGAACTGAACTGAAAATGTCACAAAAAGGGGCAGAATTGGGTCTATGCAGGCTTTTTCAATGGTGTTTCAAATACAGTGGTCTATGAACAGCCCTGGTAATGAACTATTCGTTTTACGAACCCCACAGAACCGGAAGTAGGTTCTGGTTAGCTTTACCTCGGTCTACGAACAGAAGCCGAATGGTGGAAGGGCACCGGCGGTGGGAGGCCTCATTAGGGAAACGCGCCTCAGTTTAAGAACGGCTTTGGTTTAAGAATGGACTTCTGGAATGGATTAAGTTCGTAAACCAAGGTACCACTGTATATGTGATTTCACTGAAATGTAACCCCCACGTAAATTGGGGGTTACCTGTACTCAAGTAACTGATGAGATTCCTTGACTGCTAAAAGCCTTTCTCAGAAGTAGAAATATATGTTGTCCCACTCTTGAAGAAATAGAAAACACCAACAAGTAATCACTTGCTGTTACAGTGTAGGGCTGATCTTCTTCAAGAACTTAACAGTTTCTTAGGTTTATGTGACACTTCTGGTTAAGCCTTAATTCAGATACTATAAATTCAATGTAGGCTCTGACACACCATTCACTTTATTATCTTTAAACAGCTGTTAAATACATTTGTTAAAATGATTTATTTGAATGTTAAATCTGGACCAGCATAATGAAATTTGAATATAAACACTGAGTCTATCATAGCTTCTTTACCTGCAAACCTAATGAGAGGGGATTACCTTAAACCTCAAAAGAAAGCATTACTACAGGAAGTCAAATATGAAATGTGTATTTAAAACAGCATAATTAACAAGAGAACAAAGTATTGTCATATGTATAGAACATATTTGCAGCTGTTGCTGCTAATGCTGCCAATGGTGGCTCATGGCGACTGGTGGCTGTGGAAGCTCAGGCTTGATGGCCTGGTTCTGCACTTAAGAGACTACCAAGATGGCCTTTGGCCTCTTCAGCAGTCTCAGCTTTTGTAGCTGGAGTCAATCAGGGCCCTTCACTCTCAGGCCAGGTGGGAAAAACCAAGATGGTTTCCAAATACTTTCCAAATATTCAGCCTGCACCCTTAGTGGGAATGAATCCCAACAACTTTAATGGGACTAATTTTTGAGAGGACTTAATAATTGCTCCTTCTAGCCTTTAGGTAGCTTACCTCAATATTTGTTATCAACATAAATAGGTCTAACCTACAAATTTCTAATAAAAATATTTCTAATTCTTCTAAAATGCCATTGGCAGCTGTAGCTTTTGCTAGCATATGCATTGAAATTATATAGTACAGGTGCTGACTTAATCTGTGGGCACTTTTCTAATTAAAACATTAATTAACTAATTAAACATGTGGGGTCCTAAATAGTTTAACCCAGTGTTTCCTAAACCTGGGTCTCCAGCTGTTTCTTGGACTATCACTCCCATCATCCCTAGTTAGCAAGACCAGTGGTCAGGGATGATGGGAACTGTATTCCAAAAGTACCTGGAGACCCAAGTTTCGGAAACACTGGGTTAACCAGTGAGTAAGTCCTATTAAACACAATTGGACCTCCTTCAGGGTATACATGCATAGGATAGCCCTGTCAATGGTGCTAGCTTAATGGCTTTATTGTTCCAGCTCTTCTAGTTTTATAAGTTGGACACTGCCTTGGGCAACTTGCAGCTGAAAAGCAAATGATAAACTTTATACATAAATAAATAATTTGGTTTACACAAGTAACACAAATGTGGCACAAGATTTTTCTGAAATCATTATGTCCACAAAATTTCTGGAAGAAAGAGGAGCAAAGACAAATACACACCTGACCTCTGTTTTAAATTTTTAAAAAAGCATACTACACATACTTTTTCATTAGCGTCTTTCAAATATTGCAGTAATGTGCCATCCACAGGAAAAAATGTTCAAAAATTGTTTACTGATGCATTTTACTTTTCTGCAGCTGTGTGTGCATAATTTCTCAGCAAATTAAAAACTTTGGTCATGGTGGACATGTTACAGATGAGAGATTTTATTCAAATACTAAAGAAGTTGTTGATGGGCATTACCAGAGACATCCAGTTATTTCCTTCACTCAATATATCAAATTTAACATCACATGTACCAACAGCAACCTCAATTACTTCAGCTGCTTTATTCACTCTTTCACATGGTTGACAAGATGTATGATGCCCATCAGTTGCTGGTTGCCCAAGAGTCAAGTATCTTAGGCCGCAATTCAAAATCGCAACCAAATTCTCAATCACATGACATCAATATGGCATCACCTTATTGACAGGTGGGTTGTTGACAGGTGGGTTGTCTGGCTCATCTGTCAAAATCCCTTGTGTGGGGTTTCCAAGCACTTTACCTGACAGCCACTTTTCGGAAGCACATGGCATAGGGCTGGCAAAGTGCTTCTTTCTCTCACCCATAGGGGTGCGGGGAGAGAAGCATCAGCTACCTAAGGGAGTTCCTCTTCACAAAATGCTGCTGGAGCAAGGTGCACTCTCAACACGGAACTGCATCTTGCTCCAAGCAAAGAAACAATTATCAGCTCACTGTAAGCACTGGATTGTTCCTTTTAAATATCATATTTATCCACCCCACAGCAGACCAGACATCATAAATGGGTGTGCCTTGGGGAAAACAGTATTGTAGGCCCAGTCTGGCCCATAGGTCAGAAGTTCCCCACTCCTGGTTAAGAGCTGTGTGAAGAAGTACAGAGATAGCTCAGTCACTAGAGCATGAGACTCTTAATGACAGGTTCATGTTGGGCAAAAGATTCCAGAATTGCAGGGAGTTAGATTAGATGACCCTTTTGGTCCCTTCCAACTCTACAATTCTGTGTTTCTGTCTGTCCTGAATCTTCTATGATTAAGCTTCATCAGATGAACCAGGTCCTAGTATTATGAGACAAGGAGAAAAATCTTTTTTTGCACCATGCATAATTCTATAACTTCCATTGTGTGCCCTCTTAGTTGCCTTTTCTCCTAAGCTAAAAAGCCCCAAATGTTGTAAACCTATTCCTACCTGGAGCAAGGCATGCTCCCACTAGCTGTCAGCTGATGAGTGGTGGGAGCATGTCATGCTCCAGCATTATCATTCCTGATCACTGGCCATGCTGATTGGGGCCGACAAAACATATGGCTGGTCACAGGTTCCCCACCCCTCTTCAGAGGAATGGAAGTTATTTTTCCCCATGTTTTGACAGATATGAGCAGTGAAGAAAAATTAGCTAAGCTGCATTTTTCAAACAACTTATTTATCAACCTGAGCAATTACATTCTGGGTAATCAACATTCCTGTTGTACTATAGGAAGAAAAGGATTTGGGTTGCATTATCAAAGGAGAATTCAGCTTCAGGAGTTTGTCATGTGTACAGGTGTGTCCAGCAGCCACACCCAACCATCTTGGTTCCCAGGGGGCACCATTTCTTTGCATACTACAAGGAAGCATCTTGCTTTTATCCTGCACAGCTTTTATTCCACGTGTCAAAACCGAGCAAGCAACCTAAGAAGCAGAAGCCAAAGAAAACACGACATGCATGTGGCAGTGCCACCACCCAGCTACCTGTCATCTTCAGCATAAGGGAAGCAATTGTGGAATAATAATAATAAGAAAACCCGAGATTACTGCAGCTACTCTGCTCTCATAACAGCCTTTTCCAGGAAAGTAGCGGGGTGGGGGAGAGGGATGTACTCGAGATAGCACACTCTCCTCCCTCCACAGATGCACACACTCAAATCTTACAGGATAAAGGCTGCAGGAGTGCAAAAGTGAAGTTACACACTCACAGTCCCACAGATCTGTGGGGTAAGGTGGAGAAGCAAGGAGGGAACTGTCCAAATAGGGGGTTGTGTGTGGGACACCCGCGCACAGGGCCAGTACATGGCATTTTGGCACATGAGGCGAACCACAAAATGCCCCTCCTTCCTGCCAGGCAAGCAGTGATCTGCATCGGGGGCGGGGTGGGAAGGTGGGAAGAAAGATCCACATAGGCATCTGCCGCCCCTGTGCATCCTGCTGCCTGAGGCAACCGACTCACCTTGCTTCATGGAGTGGGTCGGCCCTACCCACGCCAATCCTATTGAAAGGGGTTTGTGGGGCTGAAATCGTGAGAGGGTGGGCCAAGTTACTCCCTCCTCTGCATTTGCTTACTATATCAAGAGGTGCGGCTTTGGCGGCCCCGTTCCAGAAATTAGGGGTTCGCCACCTTTGCTCGCTTAGCCACTGACCCTAGCCTCGGGCGCTTAACCCCGCCCGTTTCGCCGAGGAAGACCATGCCTGACCCCGCAACGTAGGCCTTACCTTTGGACTCACGAGGCCAAGCGGCTCCTGTGACTCTTGAAACCGTCAGCTGCCTCAGAGAGGGGCGGGGAAAATGGCGGCTGCTCCCCTTCGTCTCCTCAGAAGAGCGGCCGGGCGCGGGCGGATGCGCCACCCAGCGGCCTCGGCGAGGAGCCGCGATGCCGGGCGAAGCGCCTCGCGGAAGAGCGGCACCTGGCGGGACTCAGTTGCCAGGGCGGGAAGCGTTAGCCGCGGGGAAATGCGGTGGAGGCCACGGGCGGACTACAATTCCCGTCAGTCCCCAAGCGCTGCGTCGCCAGTGATCAGCGGTGATGGGAATTGTAGTCATGTCCCCATCCCCTGCCTCGGTTGGCGGTGCGCTGCGCTCTTTTGTAACAGCCAGCGACTCAAAATCGAGCAGGATGTCATATAGGATCAGCTTGCCTACGTTGGTTTATTGGCGTGTTTGCGGACTGCACTTCCATGAAAAAGGAGAAAAAGGGGAAATGAAGGAAGGAGGCACGTCGCCATAAGAAACGGCAATAAAAGAATTATGGCTGCGATCTAAAAATATATATTACCTACGAAAATCTCAACAACTTTCGGGGTGTCCTGGTTTCTGAAATATGACAACCCTACATTAGTAAATGTATGCTCAGGCAGAACTCTTCCCTCCCACGTATCGTGTTTTCCATCACTCAAGGTCACTTAGTGGATTTGTGTGGAGGGACCTTGAGCCCCCGCAGTGTTATGCCCTTGGTTAGTTAAGTATTTTTATTATTTACTTGATTTAGAGGACACACCTGCCCCCAGCCTCCCTGGCTTTGCCCATGTTAAGTGGTAAATGAATGAATGAATGAATGTACATTTTTTTTTACTTTCAACATTTATATATTTGCCAAAAAACCTTCCAACACCATAGCTGTCAACGTTTTCCCCCTTTTAAGGGAAATTCTCTTATTCTGAATAGGATTCCTCGCAAGAAAAGGGAAAAGTTGACAGCTATGCAACACTGCTGTGGGGCAGTGTGAAGAGACACCTCTCCTTTGGAAGGGGGGGGGGCTGCCCAGAGGACTCCCAAGGAGAGAGGAAGCTGAGGGAACACTTCAAGGGAGGGTGTTCAAAAAGGGGTGAGAGGATGCCAGCTCTGCAGGCAAGGGGTGACATAGCTGGGCTCCTGAGCCCCACAGGAGTGCTGCAGAGCGAATGTAGTTGGTCAAGGGAGCCTTGGACCCAGAAAGGTTGAAAACCTCTGCCATAATTGACTGAAAAGGCCCTGTAACAACCACCTGCCAGATCACATTTAGCCAGAGAAAATGTGCTTTAAATGTATGATGTGGATGTGACCTGTGTCTGTACTGGCTACCATGCTTAAGATAGTTGGATTGTTCTCTGCTTCTGGCAAACATCTTCAAAGGCTCATTAATGTTCCAAATGATAAACTGGTTTGCAATCAACAAATGATTACATTCTGGAGTATGTTTGTTTATATTGTTACAAAAGCCAGGTGTCTGCTCCCTCTCTCTGCCAAGCAGTGGCCAGAGCGCATGGGGTCACAAACACCCCAGGGTCTGTGTGGAGAACAGAAGACACTGTGGAGACTCTAGTGTTTTAAGAAGCAAGGTTTATTTGTCTATTTACACTCTCAGTCTGCATGAACAGGGTTCAAATTTTATAGCATGACCCAAAGCATTGCAGGCAGCTGTTCCTTCTCCCTCACCAAGATGGATCTCAGCCTTTCTTCCTCTTTCTTCTTCCCAGAAGCCCCTTCCCCTTCCCCAGAGCAGTTCACTGGCAACCTTCCAAGTCACTGGTCACACTTGGTGAAAGAAGTTCTATTGCTTTATTAAGCTACCCATGAATTCCTTTGTGGCTTATATTATCCCTTCCTATCACAAATAACACCAAATCCTAGCATTGATTACCGTATTTTTTTTCATCTATGAGACACCCCCATTTAAGACCCTGATTTAAGAAAACGGGGGGAGATGGCCCCCATGTATAAGATGCCTCCAAATTTTGGACATAATTTTTTAGGGGAAAGAACCTAGTCTTATACATGGAAAAATACAGTAATTTTAGTGTTTAAGGGGAGCCCCCCAGTTCTGCAACAGTATTCTTAGATCACATTTTACCTTGGGATGCCCTGGTGGGTGGGTTACATGCAATCTACATACCCAGAAGTTGAATTAAATTCAGTAGAATTAATATTGTAGCCTTTCCCTGCTGGCAGAGGCACATTAAAGTTGTTAAATGCTATAAAGGAAAAGGGGCATTCACATGTTACATTCTATGAGTGAGCAGTCTTTATACAGTACCTGTGTACGCAACCATTCAACTTCACAAATCAACTAGTTTACACTCTTTCATGCAAACAATTGCACATCTATAGTCTGTTTGTATCTGGTGTTAAGTGTACTAAGTGAGTCAAGTCAAGGTGCCACATGGCTCTGTTGTTATAAGATAAAATTAAGGCTATGTGCCTAAAACACATTTCCTGAGCCTTGGGATAGCCAACATGGGTGGAATCTAGTCACATATGAAATTCTTGTGACTACAACTCCCATAATCTTTGGTAACTGGCCATGACTGACTAGTAGGGTCTAGGGGTCGTTCACACTTCTGCTTGCCCCATGTTTCCTAAGCACAAGTCTGAGAGGTTTCTTGTTTAACCCATTGTTTCCCTGGGGAAAACGGGCTGTTTACCGCTGGGGGCTTATCCATACAGTACTTACTTCTCATGTGCTCTTAAAGCTCTGTGTCAGAGCCCTGTGTTGTTTTTTGCTCCAAAGCTTTCCATGTGAAAACCCTCTTTTTAACACTAAATCAGAGCAAATGGAAAGAAAACCGTGGAAAATCTGAATTGACCTTTGCTCCAATTCAGTTTTAAAGAGCAGATCTTCGTGGGAAAGCTTGGGATAATAATAATAATAATAATAAAGCTAGGGCATGGAATGTTAAAGCGCTTGCCTGGAATGAGTGGGGCAAAGGGTGAGGGGAGATAGACTTTGTGCTTAGAGTGCGGAAACTTGTTGTGGGTCACTTTAACCCCAGAGCAGCCGTGCAGGTGTGCAAAACTGAATTAAAAGCGGGGCGGGGCGCCGTCCACGTAAGGCCCCCTCCCCCGCGCAAAGTCCATCACATGACCCGGCGCACGGGAACTATTTAAACAGCAGGCCTAGGCCCAAGAAGTCTGCAGTTGTACTGAAGGGAAGGCATGGTCTACTGTCCTACGCCTGCCGGCCCTCTCCGTTCCTCCCGGCGGAGCCCCGTGCTGCCCCTGCGCCTAGTCCGCGCCATGCCGCCAAGGAAGCCCAGGTTCTCCCGCCCTCAAAAGCCTCCTCTCCCTCCTCCTCCTCCTCCCCGTCGTCGTCGTCGTCCTCCTCCTCCATCGCCGCCCACTTTCCCGTCATGCTCGTCATGGCCGCCCCCACCGTCCCCTCTGACCTCGGGCCCGCCGTTCTCGCATCCGGGCTTTCGGCACTACACCAGGAAGATGGCGGCGGGAGCGGCGGCCTCAGCGGTGGCATCGACATCGGGGGCATCCACGGCGGCGGCGCTCCCTGCCGAGTGGATCAAGAACTGGGACAAATCGGGCAAGATCGAATTGTGAGTCCGGGGGGGCGTGGGGGTCTGGGGGGAGGCGCAACGGTGTGGGGGGTGGTAAGGGGAGAAAAGACGTGGTGGGAGGGGGAGCAGGCAAGGTGCGCTGGGTAGAAGATCGGCGAGGGTGGGCAATGGAGGGCCTGATCCCACTCACCCAAGCCCTCAGATCGGCGGTTCCTGCTGTGGGGGCGAGACCCCCCCCCTTTCCCGCGCGCGATCCCCCGATCCCCCTCCCCCGATCTCCGCCGCCCCTTCCCAGCGCTAGGCCCTGAGGTGACTCCAGGCTTCCCTCGCTCCTTTCAGCGCCGCGCCCGCCCCCATCTCTTCTTGCGCTAATCCTCCCCCCGGCCCAGACCTTTAGATCTCGGTCCTTCTTCCTCTCTCTCTGCTTGGAGATCAGATCGCTTTGAGCTCCTTTCCCTGCCTCGCGATGGAAACGGGACAGGCGCGCTCGCCGGGGGGCGGGTTGTCTCTCGGTGCGACCCCCCCACCCCCCCACCCCACTCCCCTGCGATCGCCGCCTTTCCCGTTTCCATCGCGAGGCAGACGTTCGTCAAAAGCTGTGCAGTATTAGGTGTCTTGGGCCCTTTCTTTCCTTTCTTTCTCTCCCCCGTTATTATTGTCATTATTGTTACGTTAACCAGCCCTCGCCTTTTGGTAACGTTCCCCACTCCCCACCATAGCTGGACCGACCTTCCTGCAGTTGCATTGTTGTTCGTTTGTTCAACAATTTATTCTTCCAACCATCTGAATAGAAAGCTATCTTTAGAGAAGCGTGAAGCTTGGATGCTATAAGTGTAAGCCTTTCCCCCACCATCTTAGCTTGCTTAGGGGCTGCCTTTTGGTACCTTCCCCAGTGAGGTTTATGGTCTTTCTGGCTCCAGTTTTGTACATCTTAGTGTGGGGTTTCTGCTAATAAAATCGGACCGCTTGCTGAAGGTGTAATGGGGTTGGACAGCAACCCTAATCCCTCTCACTAGAGAGTGGGTTCCATTGAAGTCAATCAGGCTTGCTTCTGAATAAACGTGCTTAGTAGGATCATACTATAAAAGTTGCCTTTTGTAGTCTAGCTGCAGTGGGATTTGAAGACTTTGTGGATCGAGAGCTGTCATTATGCAGAAAGCAGATAAAGTGGTACCTCAGGTTAAGTACTTAATTCGTTCCGGAGGTCCGTTCTTAACCTGAAACTGTTCTTAACCTGAAGACCACTTTAGCTAATTGGGTCTCCTTCTGCCACCGTGCCGCCAGAGCACAATTTCTGTTCTTATCCTGAAGCAAAGTTCTTAACCTGAGGTACTATTTCTGGGTTAGCGGAGTCTGTAACCTGAAGCGTATGTAAACCGAGGTACCACTGTACTTCAGTTATCAACTTACAAATGCTAACAACTAAACAGAATATAAATTCCTTAAATGAATTGAAATGAATTGAAATGAAATCAAGCAGCTTTGCAGTATCTCAGACCACGATTTATAGCCCAGTCCCAAGTATGTTTATTCATATCTAAATCATACTGACATCAATTAAATTTAATTCCAGATTTACTTAGGATTGCAGCCTATAGCCTGAGCTAGTGTGGTCCAACCTCTCAGACTTAGTGGGACACAAGAGTACTTCAATGCAGAACATGTGGCCACACACTGAATTTAATTTCCAAATTGTAAATTAAAGTGCTTGCAATATAGTTAATTATATTTAATATACACAATATTTTCAAATGGATATATAAATGAATACACAATTAAATAAAAATAATACATTTATTTAATAAAATTTAATGCACAAACAGTTGTCTCTTTCTTTAACAATGAAGACATTGAATTCCTGTCAGCATAAGCAGGCAGGGTATAAAAATAAAATCATTTTAGAAGGCTTCTAATAAAAAACAATTCAAAGCTCTTGTGAAGCCAGGAAATAAATGCAGCCTGTGAAGAAGCTTGAAAAGCTTGAAGAATAAATCCCTGAACTTAAATGTAATATTGTGGGAGGGTGGAACTCTTGTTTCCTCTCCCCAACCCTTCCCCAAAAATCCTGGAGTGTAATTTTAAATTGGCCAAAGGAATGGAGAGGACCAGAAAATACAGTAATTGCTGCATCACTTTTTTTTTTTTAGTGCAATGAAGGAATCTGGATTTATTTGTATTTTTTTAAGCAGCAAAATGAGAACAGAGCTTCCTCTTTGCAGGGACATTTACAATTCTAGGATGATTGATCTTGGTGGGACATCTTACTAAACACACCAAACTGAGACTCAGAAAGTCTATTTCTTGGAATATGCATGATGTGGTCCCATCATATTATCAATCCTGCAAGTGTTCTTCATGTGCAGATGGGTTTGCAAATGCGACTTGTAATAGTTCAGTAGGTATTAAGGTCCACATAGTACAAGTCTTGTTTTTGGAATGAACAAATTCTAAGTAATCCTTCTGTGTTAATGTACCTAAGTATGACAGTGGCCATCCCAGTTCTGATTTCTTTTGACAGTGTAGTTAGGATATTACTACAAAATAATTTTTAGATCCAGTTAGGTACAGTCGTTCCAATTTATTTGCTGAAACTATTGGGCACCTCAAAACTGCAAACAATCTAGTTGAGATACACTTTCTAACAAAGAAATGAGATCCAGGGCAAGAGCTGTTCTCATTCGATTGGGAGCCACCCAGAGTGACTGGGGAAACCCAGCCAGATGAGCTGGATATAAATAAATTCTTCTCCTTCTTCCTGAAATTTCTAGGTCCATAAAATCTTACCCACAACATCTTGATGTGCTGGTTTAATTATCCACACAGTTTTAGACTTCAGTAGCCCACTATGTGGGTTTGATACAAATATATACCTGTGAGCAAAACATCTTAATTTTTTTGGGTCACAGAAGATTTCCATTTTCAAAGTGTACCAGCATAGGTTAGACCAGGGGTAGGCAACCTAAGGTCCGTGGGCTGGATGCAGCCAATCACCTTCTCAATCCGGCCCACGGATGGTCTGGAAATCAGCGTGTTTTTACATGAGTAGAATGTGTCCTTTTATTTAAAATGCATCTCTGGGTTATTTGTGGGGCATAGGAATTCGTTCGTGTGTTTTTTTCAAAATATTGTCCTGCCCACCACATGGTCTGAGGGAAGGTGGACTGGCCCACGACTGAAAAAGATTGCTAACCTCTGGGTTAGACTGTGTTCACCTCTTCCCAGAAATACCTGCTGTCAGGCATAAATATTAGCTGAAACCCTTGTCTTCATAGAGTTCAAAACCTGTTTAGATGTGTGTTTCGTGTATGATAGAAGTTCCTAACTAATTTTAAATTGGTTTAAAAAATACCTTGTTTTTGTACTGTCTCTGTTCATAAACATGACTGCTGCTATTCCCCAAAGGTCCCTCATTATCTGCTCTGCTGCTTACTGTATTATTGCGCCTTTAAATATCTTCTAGAAAAAAAATTCACATTCTAAACTAGTTATTAGGACCAGCTTAAAGTTCAGTCAGTCATGTGTTAATATTACAACAATTTCTAAAACGTGCAAGGGGTCAGAGAAGACAAGAAATTACAGGCTCATTAGCCTAAAGTCTCTCCCAGGTAAATGAGTGAAAAGCATTACATAGGAACCTAGGAAGTTGCCTTCTATGAAGTCAGAACATTGATCCATCTAGCTCAGTATGATTGCTCTGACCAGCAGCAGCTCTCCAGAATTTCAGATAGGGGTTATTTCCAGCACTACCTGGATTGAATCTGGGACCTTCTGTACACAAGGCAAGTACTCCATCACTGAGCTTTGGTTCTTCCCTGAGCTATGAGCTGCAATTATCAAACATACAGAATAATAAGGTTGAAGAGGAAGAATAATAGTCTCTGCAAAGAAAAGGCTTTTCTCACCATTTTTAAAGTATTTTCTGAAGGTAGCCCCAAAGTGCAGTGCTACCTTCATTGGTATCCTACAGATGTTTGAATTACATCTCTCATTAGTCTCAACAAACATCTGCATGCTGTTTGGGGCTGATGAGAGTTGTAGTACGAAATACGCAGAAGGCATTAGTTGGGAAAGTCTGGTATAGATACAAGTAATTTGGTAAACATATAATTGAATCGCCGAAAAAACAACAACCATGTAACGAAGCCTGTCTGTGTCCTTTAAAAAAAAGATGACACTGGGAAAATGTTTTGAAGTTTATAAAATAGCCAGGGACCACATTTGAATGTGACTTAAGCCATGGTGGTTTATGGCTTACTTGAACTGGGACTTGGTGTGTATGAGCAAGTTTGTTTTGCTGCTCTTGGTTCATGCTTTGACGAAGCAAACCACAATTCCTGGCTTCATGTTATGTTAATCCAAAGATCATGGTTTGTTTAGTTTCCAATAAACCATGATTAGTATGTTAACAACATACTTCGGCAACAGATCATGTTTTATTTCCCAAGCACAAAAAAAGGACGGGATCAGACTTGTACAGTAAGCCATGGGGCATGCCCATGGTGAGACAGAATTAGTTTTCATAGCACTAAAACTTTTGGTCAACCAATGAAATTGATTGGCAGTAGATTTAGTGCATACAATAGGAAATGTTGTTTCATAAAATGCATATTTAACATAACAGATTAGTTAACATTGACAAAAATATAATAACAGAGCAGGTTTATACAAAATTGTGTTTTCTTAATCTAAACTCAGATGCGGATGGTGCCATGGTCTAAACCACTGAGCCTCTTGGGCTTGCCGATCAGAAGGTTGGCAGTTCGAATCCCCGTGACGGAGTGAGCTCCCGTTGCTCTGTCCCAGCTCCTGCCCACCTAGCAGTTCAAAAGCACGCCAAAAAGTGCAAGTAGATAAATAGGTACCGCTCCAGCGGGAAGGTAAACAGTGTTTCTGTGTGCTGCTCTGGTTTCACCAGAAGCGGTTTAGTCATGCTGGCCACATGACCCAGAAAAACTGTCTGCAGACAAACGCCGGCTCCCTCGGCCTATAAAGCGAGATGAGTGCCGCAACCCCAGAGTCATTCACGACTAGACCTAACTGTCCAGGGATCCTTTACCTTTACTTTTACCTTTTTAATCTAAACTCCAGGAGTGAAAATGGGCAGATAATAGCATTAGGCTGGTTTGGTTGCTTATGTTGTTTTGTGGTGGTATTCAAATTCTGAGTTGCCCAATGGTATTTTATTTGGCATCATCTCCTGGTGATGGTGATATTGCCAATGAAGATTCGTATGAGGGAGTTGCCTTTAACTTGTTAGTTGGATTTTTCAAGAATTACTGTTAAAGGATTGTTGCCAGAATTTATTGGGTGAATCCTTTGATTCTGATACCACAAGTATTTCCTCTTTGAATGAAGAGTTGAAAAGATCAAGCACAGAATTTTCAAAAGGAACAAAGAGCCAAATAAAATCACTCTCATTGCCAGTAATTATTTCATATCTATCAGGCGTCTCTCGGAGACTAGATGCTTCTAATCTTAAATGCCTAGACAAATGCCTGCCTGCAGACTGGTAATGTAAATCATATTTACTTTGCTTCAGCAATTGTTTTAAACTAACAGACCTCTTTCCTGCTCTAACTGGAGGTCTGTATCCTTTGTTGCATCCTATGTACACTGGAAACAGTAAAATAAATGAATGACTATTAAATGAACTTTAAGACATTATTTTGTTTACTCTTCATATCTTGTAGTTTTCTTTTGGTTTTTCTGGTGGTGACTTTTGGATTCCTTTTATTTTCCTCACTCTTAATTTCTTTTTATTGAGAATGCCAGACAGTGGTTGTTTACTCCCCAGTCATAAGTACAGTGATTTGAGAATAAGCCACATTTATGTAAGTAGAATTACCACTTGAGGCTTACGACTGAAATATATTTGTGAGTCAGTTGCTTTTTAACAGTAATAATATTATCAGTTACAGTGCCATTTCCCCCTTAGAACGCTAAATACATGTTTTGTAGTCGTTCTTGCAGTATTGAAAAATCTGCCTTGGTTGAAACTTCACTTCTTCAAGATGTGAGAAAAACTAGGACTGTTGACTCATGAAAATGTTTTCCTTGCTAACATTGCCTTTGGATAAGGCTGCATCTGGCTGTTACACTAAGCCATAGTTAAGCTCAGAGATCTTCAAGCTCACATTTTCTCCGAAGTGTACAGAAGTAGGATGTTGGAAGCATTTGTTTCTGTTTTTGCTTAAACATGATTTGTTACTTCATGTGCATTGATAAACTGGTTACTCTTATCTGAAACAAGGTTTTAGGTCATGTTAATATTTATCTTGGTTTATCAGCTTAAACAGAATGATAAACAGTTAAGCAGAAGCCAAAACTTCCAAACCGTTCCCTCTAACTGCGTGGAAGGTGAGGGGAGTGCATGACCTAAGCTCATTTATGTCACTACTATGTCATGACCTAAATGCTGAAGGTTTTTCTGAATTGCATAACTAAGGGCTATTACATTACGTATACACTTAATTAATAGACATAAATGAATGCTGTTTAAAAATTATGCTTTCATATACATTCCGCTCGTAACAGCCGAAATAACAGATTTTTAAATACATATTGAAAGAGAGAGAACGAGAGAGAGAGGGAACATATTACCATATTTAAGAATGTAAAGAAGAAAATACATTATTGAAGTGAGATGTGAGAGACCATGATTTACAGATCCCATTTGCTGTTTCTTTTCTTTGTAATTGCATGTACTCATTTACTGTTTAGATGGTTAGCAGTAAAAAAGAAATTACAGGCTCTTTAAAAAACAAAAACTGGTCAAGGTCCATTGGTCCATCGGTTACATTTGTATTTGAAGGTTCATATTCTAGAATGTTTTGAACCATTCTCTTTGCTAAGTTATCGTCAGTTGGTGAAACAGCTGAATGGCAGCTGTGTAGACGTGGCTGGATGATTGTTATGTGAAATTGTTATGGAAGATTTACCATCAATCAGTTTTAGTATTTCTCTGTAGAATTAAACTGTAGTGTTTATCACAGCAGTAGATATGAGTGTAAACAGATACTGATTTTATTTTTCACTCAGTTTGCTGCTTGAGCAAAATCAGTGTACAAAGCCTGCTCCAGAACCCTTTATCTGACTCATAAAAATTTGATGGCTGTGTTTTGAGCTACTTCTTGAAGGCATATTTGTTGTGATTTTCTTGGTAGACCTTTGTGCCCAGTGACAACCTACCTGTGGTCAAAGTAATGTAGAAAGTACTGGATGCTTCATAAACAGGCATTTATTCAAGAGGCTGGAGAATAATATCTTTTTTAAAAACAAAACCCTGTGAACATAGAGAAACCTTTATTTCTGTCCTATAGGCATTATTGTTCACTAAATATATATACCACCATCCTAAGATCACAGAATGGTTTACAACATAAAAACACAAAACATAATAATAAATACCCCTGACACATTTAAAAGGCCATAGATTCTTTAGCAGTCAAAGTCCTCATTGAAGATGTTTTCACCTGGCAACCAACTGTGCAATGAAGACACCAGGCAAACATTCCTGGGAAGAGCATTCCACAAACGGGGACAATTGCTCCCCTTGTTGCTACCCTCTGAAGTGCTCGGGGGAGTGGGGACACAAATAAGGGCTCAGATGATTATAGGGTCTGGGTCAGTTCATATGGGGAGAGGGTGGTACTTGTAGTTATTGCAGTCCTGAGCCATTTAAGACTTTATAAGTCAGAACCAGCACTTTGAATTGGGCCTGGTGTAGTCAAACCAGGATTGGTGTTATATGGCCACCACATTCTGTACCAGCTTAAGTTTCTGAACTGAAGCAGAGCATAGAAGTTAGGCTTTCACTTTCCAGGTAGGGGCACAGCTGAGTCAGCAACCAAGGTTGATGGAATGCACTCCATGCCACTGAGGCTACCTGAGCCTCAAGTGACAGGAAAAAGACCCAGAAATGCCCTAAGCTACATAACTGCTCCTTCAGAGGCAGTTTAACCCCATCTAGAGCAGGCCACCTTCTGGTCTAGGGAACCACCCCCTAACTGTGCTGGATTGAGTTTCAGCTTATTGGCTTTCATCCAGTCCATTACTGAGGCAAGACAGGGGTCCTGCATATCCACTGTCACACCTGCAAATGTAAAGGAGAAGCATAGCTGTGTTACCATGTAGTCCCAAACCTGGGATGACCCTACTGACTAGTTTCATGTAGATGTTAAACAGCATAGAATATAAAATTGAACCTTAAGGCCCACCACCCCTGCCTTGAAGGCTCCATGATCCTGAACAACACTCCCCAAGCATCCAATCCAAGTAGGACTCGAACCACCACAATTCACACTCCCTGACCCTCAAGTCTGCACTGATGCTGCCCTGAGTACCTAAGTGGGCATATCTGGGTGAAACCAACCCCACTTTTCACACCCACCTAGGTCTCCGTAATACAGACCTGATCAGTCTCATTGTCCACAATCACATCATGGTTGAGGGAGATTTTATTTAGAGTCTTCCTGGCATTCAACAGTAGCAGCTTTAGACTTAAGGGCTGGCTGATAGGGCAAGCACAGTTCCCCAGGTTGTGGGGTGTGCGTGCTGGCACATAGCACAGCCACTAACTGCTTGTGCCGTGTCTGCCCCACCACACACACCAAGCTTCCCCTGTGATTGGGGCTCCTCCTACTCTCCCCAGCTCCTCTCCTCCCACACACATCATTTCTTCCCTCCAAAAGCAAAACACATTAAGAAACAGTAAAAACAATTAGGATGATGTTAAGCAGGTAGCCCTTGCCCTTGATCTCCCCATGAAGTTGCTCTCCCCAAGGGGATGACTCCCATTTGGTTTCAGCCCCTTCTGGGGTGCCAATTCCCGCATCAGCCCTGGGCTTTATATAGTCCCCATTCCCCTGGTAGGTTGAGCCCAGGTGGGCTGTCAATAAGTCAGCAGTGGGAGAAGCAGGGCAACTTCTATCTCTGCCAGCCAAAAGTGGGAAAAGGCTGGCTTCCTCAAGAGCAAGAATTCAAGCGGGTGTGGAGGAGGGCCAGGTTGAAAACTCCCCTTCACCACTGATTGGAGTTGCTGCCTCAGTGGGTGAGTTATAGGACCAAGGTATTACTGTATTTGTTTATCCGTTATCCTGTCTTTAGCATCAATTTTCAGTATAATGTATTACTGAGTTACAAAATTTTGAATATTCTACCACACAATCAAAATAATAAATTTTCAGTAGGTGAACTTTGTGGGAACTAAGATGCTTAAAAAATCCATTTCATTTGTTTTAGCTTGCAGCTTTGCCGTAATCTGTCTGAAAATGTAACTTTCAGAGGTAAGTAAATACATTTAAGGCTTTTTTATTAAAAAATAATGAAATTAATCTTACACATTAACTAGGATAGCTATTTATAGAGGTCAGGATCTAGAAACTTTCAAAACCAGTTGTGTGCCTTCAAACTAGTTTTAAACATGATTTTTGTATAGCAGCCATTCCACACCACATAGCTAACTACTTTTCAAATGAACATATTAAAAACATTTTAACATATGCATGGGAAAGTTTATTCAAAGAAGAAAGTATATACAGTCCAAATAGTTGCATGCCAGCCCTTGGACTGTCTGAGATAGTAATCACTCATCCCAGACTACTGTTAAAAGGACAAACTTTATCATGAATAAAAGAGGGGATGCTGGGGCAATACTTTGTCCCTATACTTTACTCAGGAGGTACTCAGTAGTGCTGTGGGTTCTATCGTGGAGAAGAGACTTTATATTCAAATAAACCTGAGGTATGCCTACTTAATTTGCTTCTTCCTATGGTAGAAGGAAGTAGGATACAGCTAATAAGTGTGAGGAGCTTCCTTCACTCCTCCAGAAGTGTATTGAGGATAAAGTAACAGTGCAAAAGGTTCAAAATGAGTTAAATTAAACTTATCCATTAGTACTGTGAGCAGATCACAGTTCTTTGCACTTTTTTTTTAAGCGATGTTTTCTTGTTGCAATAGTAACTGTGATAAACTTGAAAAGAGATAATTGAGTGTGTAATAGATAACATTTGTTTACTTTTGGATCAGAGCTCTTGCACAGTCATTTGGAACATTCCCTTTTGCAAGCCTTCTTGAAACTAATAGGAACTGTGCAACAGCACTTCTCTGATACCTATATATTAGACTTTTTTCACCTTTTATCAAAAACCTGTCTTGAAATAATTTTTGGCAAAAACAGGTTTTGCCAAAAAAAGAATTGGATTGAAATCTATCTTGGTAATGTTCAGCCATAATTAGAACATAATTGGAAATAACAAAATGAATTATGTGAAATTATTGTATAGGAATGCTATAAAATACCCTCACCAGAGATCAAAATTACGTAATTCAGTGCAACTCCCCCCCCCCCCCCAATGTCTTGCAGGTATCCAGCAGGCTTTATATGAGCTTGCATACCATGTTGTCAAGGGAAACCTAAAGCACGATCAAGCTTCCAGTGTTTTTAATGATGTAATAGTAAGTATATTTTTGTGGTACCTGTTACCAAAACTTCTTGCTTAGCCTTCTTAGTTCAACGCTGTTTTAAATTTCCAAATGAAACTGAACAAGTTGGAGAATGGTTTTCTGCCACAATTCTTTTCCTTGTGCCAGAATGTTCTAAGTAGGAGGTTTGAATGTCAGGCTGTCTACTAATAACAAAATCTGTTTCTGATTCATTTTGATGTAATTATACTATTTACCGTATACACTCGAGTATAAGTATATTTTTATGCTGAAAAAGCCCCCCTCAGCTTATACTCGAGTGAGGCGGGCAGCGGAGGGACGAGTCGCCCAAAAGGAGCCCTTTCTTGCTGCTGGTCCCACTGCCGCCCACCTCTTGCAAGTGCAGGCACAGGAGCTGCAGTTGGGATAGCGCAGCGCCGACGGCAGCAGCATAGGTAGGCAGGGGGAGGGGAGGGGCTGGGCGAGAGAGGGGAAGAAAGAGAGGCCCCTCTGCCGCATGTGCATGGTCCGGTCCGCCACAAGGTCTGGGGGATGGTGAACCAGAACAAAGTTTGCTGACCCCGGTCTAAAACGACTAAGGGCACAGTTGAGCCAAGCTAATTCAGCCCATGTTTAAATGCTATTGATGTCTACGGGATGAACACTTGTTCATACTTAACTTCTCCACTGAAATCAGTGGGATTTCAGAAAATATAATTTAACCAGTTTCATGCCCTACATTTGAGTTTGAGGGTGAAGGGGATTTCACCTTGTGCTTTAAATGGTGTTTCTTGGGACTGCTGTAGTCACTGTTCTTAAATAGTCTGTGTTTTATAATAGCTTATAGCTGATGACCTCTGGATTATACTGCAGAGGCAGTTTGCCATTGCTCTTTGGATAAAAACCAAAAACATGTGAGACTTAACAGTTGTATCTGTTTTCCTTAGCTGTTGGGGAGACACTGTGATGTATACAGTTAAAACATATTTACTGTACTCATCAAACGCTTTTCTTTTAATAGGAATTTCGTGATGACATGCCTTCCATTCTGGCAGATGTATTTTGTATTTTAGGTAAGTCCACCCCTCCTTTACCTTCAGAAGCACTGTCACATTTAGTATGTAGCACCCAGGTCACCATGAAGGGATGAGGTTAACTTCTCTTGAAATAATCACTTCTTCTAATAGCAAGCTCAGGTGCTTAGTGCTGATGACTGTGTAGCCGAAACAGGAGTATTCAGATGCAAGAGGGACTATCATTATGCTTGGAGAAACCTCAAGGTTTGCGGGAGTATAGTAAACGGGGTGGGGTGGGGAGAACTCACCCACACAAGTCCAATGAGGACCGAGTATGATCAGTGATTATGGAACGCTGCATGTCTATTGATGAGTGAGAGTGCAGTAGGGGAGAGATGCAAAATCAAAGTGTCCTAAAAGAGAACAGGTCTGGCTGGAAATTTGAACAGGACAACTTTACATTGTTGTGTTTGTGGCAAGTTTTTTGTTGTTCAAACTGTTTTTTAACCAGTTTCTTAAAACACGCTACTTTAATTTGGTTTAGCAGATATTGAAAAGAAATTTGCTACCCATGCATTATGCTTAGATAAGTATTTTACACAGAAAAGCAGTCCAAAAATCACATATGTTAGCTTACATTGTTGCTTGTACAGTGGTACCTCTGGTTACGAACTTACTTCGTTCTGGAGGTCCGTTCTTAAGCTGAAACCATTCTTATCCCGAGACGCGGTTTTTCTAATGGGGCCTCCCGCTGTGCGCGCGCCTCCGGCGTGTTATTTCCATTCACATCCTGGGGCAAAGTTTGCAACCAGGAGCAGCTACTTCTGGGTTAGCAGAGTTTGTAACCTGAAGCATTTGTAACCAGAGGTACCATTGTACATGTAAAGCAAGTTTCTGCAGCAACATCTGAGTACTGTATATGCTTATGCTAATAGAATAAATTGCCTATCCAAAAGCATAAATTCCTAGCTACTATAAAATTAGAGGATGATGATCCACTGACCAAACAATTGTTGAGGTTTAATGTGACTATCTTGGACCATTCTATCTTAGTGATTTCTAAAGCTTGGTTATTATTCAGCAATGAACACATTGTATTCTATATCCGAGTAAATAAATAATAAATGAAATTAGTTATATTCTAAGTTTGGTGCCATTATTATTTACAGTTTTGATGCCTTAAAGGTTTTCAAAGCAAGTTCATGGGAAATAGTTTCCTATTCCTATTTTCAAATTTAATCTAATTAATGTATTAACTGTTGCTTACGAAAAATGATTCCGATTAGAAATATGAAAAAGGAGAAAAAACTAAAAAAATTATTAAAAGGAAGGCATGTGTATGAGAAATAAAATAGTCCTAGACTTTTGCAACCTTGGCAGTTTTTGTTTTAACTGCTGATAGATTCTCTTTATAGGCATAGATGTTTGCTAGTTGTGTTAAAACATTGCAGGAGAGAGAAAATATGATACAAATCTAGATGTAGGCGGATTGTAAATCATGTCTGAAATTATTTCTCTCTTATCAAGGCCTGAGCTAAATAATGATTAGATTTGTGATTTGGTCACAATTGTGATTAGATCTGTGAATAGACAAGAGTGTTAGTATCATTAGACTGCAGTTGGCAAACCTGTGCACACTTACATAGGACAGCCTTATTGAATGCAGTGATGTTTTCTTCTCAAGAAGCATGCACAAGATTGCACTACAGTCATACCTCGGGTTGTGAACGCTGTGGGTTGCGCATTTTTGGGTTACGGACTGCGCCGAACCCGGAAGTACCGAAACAGGTTACTTCTGGGTTTCGGCTCTCGCGCATGCACAAAAGCACTAAATCATGCTTTGCGCAGAAGCGCCAAATTGCGTTGCATGCGCAGGCGAGGTGCTGCAGGTTGCGAACATGCCTCCCTCACGGATTACGTTCGCAACCAGAGGTATGACTGTATTAAGTAATTCTGGGCTTTATTTAAAATAAAACTACAGGAAATAGCATTCTAATTTAAGCTTGGGGAATGAGATAATTTTATATTTAATAATAAACCTCTAATATCAATCCTTATTACTGGAATAGTCAACTATTCCTATGAGCCAGCTATACCTATCAAACAACTACTCCGGAAACACTGAATTCTGGGGTAGTTGTTTGATAGGTGTATTTTCAGGATATTTTCTGAAATGAAAAATCACAGAACAGAAGACTCAGAAATCAGGCAAATATTGTTGATACGTTATGCCAATTCCTCTCCTGTGTTGTTTTTTAAGACATTGAAACTAGTTGCTTAGAAGAAAAAAGCAAGAGGGATCAGTTCATGCAGTTGGTGTCAGCATGTTTGGTAAGTTATGCTTCTGTATATTTTTTGCTTTAAAAAAAAGGAAAATGTTGAGTTTTAGGTGGCGACGTTAAAATTTCTATGCAAGGTATAATTAGATTGCTGACCCCTACATTTTAGCTACATTTTCGTTATCCAGATTTGATGCATTTATATGAGACAGGCCATTTGTGAAAAGATGAGTTAGTCTCCAGTTTATTTTGCTGCCCTCTTGTGGAATATATACAGTTCTGCACACATGAAATATAGAATTCCCCCCCTTGAGACTTAGGCTTAGTTCTCAGTTCACTGCTAAACCTGTGTCTGAGCTGCGCCTCTTTAGGTTGTAAGTGGGGTTCCAAGTGACTGAATGTTTCTCTCTGTCGTCTCTCTCTCTCAGAAGTACCATGTTATAGAGAGAAATCTAGATTAGAAAACACCTCCCATTTTCTTGCTAGGAAGGCTTTTTTGTACCAAGAAACGTTCAGTCGCATGAGCACAGCCTGAAGCAGTACAGCTGCATGTACAGGTTTTTCACCAGGCCTGAATCTTCATGTCTTTAATTTGAATTATTTTTGTTTTCATTGTAAGATAACCAAAGGTCAGATGCTGCAGTAGATAATGTCTATTGTGCTCTTTTTCCACTCAGTACTTGGTTTCAGATACTATACTAAAAGAACGTCTGGACCCAGAAACATTAGAATCATTAGGGCTCATCAAGCAATCTCAGCAGTTTAATCAGAAATCTGTGAAAATCAAGACAAAACTTTTGTAAGTACAAAACTAAGTTCCAGTTGAGTGTATGTCTCAGCAGCAATCCAAAGTTGTATTTGTGGTTTGTTCCTGAATGTAGTTTGTTGGAGAGAAACAAACCCTGGTTCAGACACGAAGTCTGCTGCTCCTTCATGTTTTGTTTCACTGCATATAATAATAATGTAACAATAATATAACAACAACAATGAAATACAATGTTAAGCTGCATGCATCAACTTGTAGCTTTAGCCCAGCATGCTGAATGTGGCTGCTGAGAAAGGCTATTAGCCTAAATGCTTCAAGTATTTGGCTAAAATGCAGCCAGAGAGACACATACAGTAGTATATCATGCTCAAGATGAAATATCTGAAATTTTCAGATATTTGAAGAACTTAATTTCCTGATCTCGCAGTGCAAAAACCTGGTGCCCATGTACAATATTACAAACAGAGAACCATTTAACATTAATTACAAAATAAAAAGTGAAACTTATTTTTGAAACAGGGCAAGGTATTCCTACAGTCATGAGATACATCCATGTCAAAGATGACAAAAGATTTTGATCCAAAATTTTGTGTATGATGTTACACACACGCGCGCGCGCACACCCCCCCCCCCAGTGCTTTGCACTCTCCCACAAACACCACACAGAAAGCCACTACTTGAAGACTGGTGAACCTCTCTATACAGTATAAGCATTTAATAGATGCAAAATGCAGCTGGAAGAAGCAGTTTGCAACTTCTATCTGCATAGAGTATTTTCAATGAGCTCCAGGTATGTACAGTGAGGGGGAAAAGTATTTGATCCCCTGCTAAATTTGCCCGTTTGCCCTCTGACGAAGAAATGACCAGTCCATAATTTTAATGGTAGGTTTATTGTAGCTGTGAGAGACAGAATTAACAACAGGAAACCCCCCCGAAACTCATAAAACAAAAGTCAGAGATTGATGTGCATTATAATGAGTGAAATAAGTATTTGATCACTTTGCAAAAGATGACTTAGTACTTGGTGGCAAAACCCTTGTTGGCAATTATAGAGACCAGACGTTTCTTGTAGGTGGCCACCAGGTTTGCACACATCTCAGGAGGTATTTTGTCCCACTCCTCTTTGCAGATCCTTTCCAAGTCAGTAGGATTTCGAGGCTGATGTGTAGCTACTCGAACCTTCAGCTCCCTCCACAGATTTTCGATGGGATTAAGATCTGGAGAATGGCTAGGCCACTCCAGGACCTTAATGTGCTTCTTGAGCCACTCCTTTGTTGCCTTGGCCGTGTGTTTTGGGTCATTGTTATGCTGGAATACCCATCCTCGACCCATTTTCAGTGCCCTGACTGAGGGAAGGAGGTGCTCACCCAAGATTTGATGATACATGGTCCCGTCCATTGTTCCTTCGATTCAGTGAAGGTGTCCTGTCCCCTTAGCAGAAAAACACCCCCAAAGCATAATATGTCCCCCTCCATGTCTGATGGTGGGGATGGTGTTCTTGGGGCCGTAGGCAGCATTCCTCCTCCTCCAAACACGGCGAGTTGAGTTGATGGCAAAGAGCTCGATTTTGGTCTCATCTGACCAATGTTCTCCTCTGGGTCATTCAAATGTGCATTGGCAAACTGCAGACGGGCATGTACATGTGCTGTCTTGAGCAAGGGGACCTTGTAGGCTCTGCAAGATATCAGTCCTTCACGGCGTAGTGTGTTACCAACTGTTTTCATGGTGACTATGGTCCCAGCTGCCCTGAGATCATTGACAAGTTCCCCTCGTGTAGTTCTGGGCTGCTTCATCACCGTTCTCCTGATCATTGCAACTCCACGAGATGAGATCTTGCACGGAGCCCCAGACCGAGGGAGGTTGACAGTTATTTTGTGTTTCTTCCATTTGCGAATTATTGCACCAACTGTTGTCACCTTCTCACCAAGCTGCTTGGCAATACAGTGGTACCTCAGGTTAAGAACTTAATTCGTTCTGGAGGTCCGTTCTTAACCTGAAACTGTTCTTAACCTGAAGCACCACTTTAGCTAATGGGGCCTCCCGCTGCTGCCGTGCCGCTGCTGCACGATTTCTGTTCTCATCCTGAAGCAAAGTTCTTAACCCGAGGTACTATTTCTGGGTTAGCGGAGTCTGTAACCTGAAGCGTATATAACCTGAGGTACCACTGTAGTCTTGTAGCCCAGTCCAGCCTTGTGCAGGTGTGCAATCCTGTCCCTGACACCCTTGGGCAGCTCTTTGGTCTTGGTCATGGTGGCTACTTTGGAATCTGCTGGATTGATTGCTTCTGTCGACAGGTGTCTTTTGTACAGATACTGAAATGAGCTGGGATTACAGGTAAGACCTCTCCCTTACAGCAGGTGCTTCTAATCTCAGCTCGTTACATACAGTGAAGATACAGGTAGCCTGACATCTGGCTGGTTGATAGGGGATCAAATACTTATTTCACTCATTCTAATGCACATCAATTTCTGACTTAGGTCTTCTGGGGGTTTTCCTGTTGTTGTTCTGTCTCTCACATCTACAGTAAACCTACCATTAAAGTTATGGACTGGTCATTTCTTCGTCAGAGGGCAAATGGGCAAATTTAGCAGGGGATCAAATACTCCCCTCCCCCTCACTGTAAGCAGCTTGTATCAGCATGTAGCTTGTACGCAGTAGAGTTAAATCAAGAGTGGGAACCTTGTGCCCTCCAGATGTTGCTGAGCTACAACTCCCATCAGCCCTAGCAAGCATGGCCAAGGGCCAGAGATGATGAGAGTTGTAGTTCAGCAAACATCTGAAGGGCCAAAGGTTCTCCATACCTGGGTTAAATAGACCATATAAATGAGTTCTTAAATTGAATTCAATTTCACATCTATGGAACCGTAATATGAAAACCTAGAGAAATAAATGCAGATATGATCAGTTCAGTATTACTGTAAGGACGGCTTTAATTTAAAAATGTCAACATGTTATTTTTGTTCTTTATTCTTTCTGTAGTTATAAACAACAGAAATTCAATTTATTAAGAGAAGAGAATGAAGGTTATGCGAAACTGATTGCTGAACTGGGCCAAGATTTATCTGGCAATATCACTAGTGAACTGATCTTAGAAAATATCAAATCTTTAATAGGTAAGGCAAATACACTGGCATGTTTGACATTTTTCCTGGATAGCTATGATATGTTTTGGATTTAACCCAATGCTAATTTTAATTTATAAACACTTGCTCCCCCCAAAAAAGAATGTTGCCGGGTTTTGAACATTCAGCCCAACTGAAATTTTGGCCGTGTCTCTATAGTTTCTAAGTGTGGTATCTGACCTAAGTCACACTCCGAATAGACCCGCTGTAACTTAAGTTAGTCAGAAACAACCCTTAATTCTTATATCTAGTCCTGTAAAGACATAGGGCAAATTCCATATTCCTGTAAATGTACTGATGTTAGTGTGCCTAATTATGAAATACAGTTAATAGATTTCTGTTTAGAATTGATAGAAAACATTTTCTGATACAGCTAAAAGGGTTGTTTTAGTTGCCTTAGGCAGTGATAACTTTTTAAATCTCCTTTTTTTTGTAGGGTGCTTCAACCTTGATCCCAATAGAGTGTTGGATATTATTTTAGAAGTCTATGAATGCAGGCCAGAGTATGATGAATTCTTTGTACCTTTGATAGAATCTTACATGTACATGTGTGAACCTCAAACACTCTGCCATATCCTTGGATTCAAATTCAAGTTTTATCAGGTAATGCAGGTATTAGTGGTCTAAAATTCATTGGTATTAGTGTGTTTTTCAGTTACCTGATGCTTATTTTCTTAATATGAAACATTAGTCGAAATAATTTTGTGTTGGATCCAGTTAGTTGTACTTAAGCCTCATTGAGTTGACTGTGAAAAGGTAAACATGGCTAACATTTTGTTTACTTGGACCTAAGGTTTTAATGAGCCTCATAGCCTTAAATGTTCATGCTTCTTAATGAGCTACTATGCAGATCAGTTTATAAATACCCTTTGTGTTTTCCACTCCTTCAAATTGTTTTATGCTGTTCTTGTCTTTAAACAGTACAAAAATACATTTAAAAATGCTTATTTTAGGATAAAATGTTTTGAAAATTTGTACATTGAGATAAATTTAATACGTATTTAATGGAGTGTTTTTGCATTAAGATTGCAAATCAGTGCTGAATAGTTTTAAGCATCAAACCATGTGAAATTGGCACAGAGGACATCATACCGTGTATTCTCTTATCTAATTCCCACCCCAACCTACAATATGTTTGGAAGTGCCAAAAGGGAGATGAAGCAAACTCCTCCCTCCCCAGTGTTGGCATTGCTAGGATTTGAGTGCTTTGTACTTGGGAGATGAGCTCATCTTTCTCCCGTGGTCAAGGTTGTTTATCTTCTGAGCCTGGCAAGTCCCTGTGATAGCTGATCCTTATCTCCTTCACAATACCATTTTGCCTCTGAAGCCAGTTTCTGGCTCAAGCAGAGGGGCATCTGTCACCATAACTGGCTCTACGGAGGAGATGAAAAACGTGGGTATACGGAGAGCTGAACGTAATCTTCTTTGTTGTGTTCTTCCCCTCTTGTGATCCCCCCTCCAATGGATCTAAGTTTTTTGCAGTCACAGTAGGCTAATTTGAGAGAAACTTCATATTATAGATGTTATTACAGAAAATTAAGGAAAATTGAACTGCCAGAAGATTAAGCACTTAGACTTTTTTTAAAAGCAGTGGTAATATAACAACTGATTCATTGCACGCCTGTGCAAGTTCTTGCATGGAGATGCCTTCTCTGTTAAACCTCCACCCTCTTTACCTTTGTATTAAAATGGAGGACCCTCTAATGTTCTGTAACACTCTGAACTGCCTTTCTAAAGTTAGCCTTTTCTTTTTAGGAGCCAAATGGAGAGACACCTGTTTCTTTGTATAGAGTTGCTGCAGTACTTTTGCAAAGCAATCTGATAGATTTGGAAGACCTTTATGTCCATGTAAGTTATTTTTCTTGAAGTGAAAACTGCTCATATGAATTATTTTTATTGAGATTGTTACTTGTGGCTTACAGAAACAACAACAACAGTATCTCATTGCTAATTTCTGTGCACATTTGCATTCTGGACTGTTCATATAGTTGGTTATGGTAAGTTTATCTCAGTGTCTTATCTCAGGAGAAAACTAGGATCTTGTATGTTTGTCTTCCCCATTGTAGAAGATAAGGCAAGCATTGATTTCAGGGATGTTGTTTGGTAGTTGCCAAAAACAAATTTCTCTAAGGGCACATCTCAAACATCATCTCTCTATACTTTTTCTATTGACTTCAGTGGATATAATGTGCAATAGAAGCTAAATGTTATTATCTTATTTTTTATAAGCATTTTGTTTAAATTCCTATTTTTTTTACTACCTAATGTGAGTTCTTATACTTAAGTTTTTCCAAAGTTTTTTTTTAAATGGATAGGTCTTGGGGAAAGATTAAGAGAGGTTTTGAAGTTTTGTTAAGAAAACCTGCCATAAAGTCTATGATATGTGTGAAACACTTTGATTTGCTACATAATTTAGATTTTAAGTAACAAATGGTAAAGCTGATTATGATTTCTCACACTAAAAATTATTTTTTTTAATCTTTTTTTTGTAAATAATTATGATTCTAATATAATTTATGCTTTGTATCAAAGTGCCCCATCCAGTGTATCAAAGTGCCCCGTAGGTGGGGCAGAATGATACAAAATCCCTTTTTTTTTTTAAACTCAAGATATTATATTCTCATTATCTTCTAACTTTAATGGTTCTTTTGATTGCTATTATAATATTGATTAGTTATGCCATGCATAAAACAAAAAAAAAATATTACTTGACTCATTTCTGTTACATAAAATATGAGATTGAATTTTTCTGCATCAATCTGCCCCGCCTCACCCTAAATAAAAAAACTCAACTCCCATTTAAATAAAAAAATCTGATTAAATTTTTTTTTAAATAAAACCATTGATTTTTATCCACCCTGGCTTAAACTGGTTTCTGGCTTGGAAATAATGAGAAACTGACACTAATAAACCATATATGTACTTGAAAGTGGGCACGTGTGGGGGGAGGGGTAAGGATGTAGGCCAGAGACACAGTACTTGTTCTCAATCTCGTAATCTTCAGCTCCGGTATTTCAAGTATCTGTTTTGTGGAGTTTTACTGAGGATTACAGTAGGCGTCTTTATTCACAATAAAGTAAAACACCTTTAATTATAAGAATCTCCAAATTGTCTCTTTAGCTACTTCCAGCAGACAACACTATTATTGAAGAACATAAACGAGAAATTGGAGAAGCCAAACTAATTGTGAGGAAGCTCACAGTGGTTGTATTGTCTTCCGAAAAGACTGAAGAGAAAGAGAAGGAAAAGGAAAAGGAAGAGGAGAAAACAGAAAAAGTAAGTTCTAAGGATATTTAGAGTTGTAAATCTAGCACAGATATCCAGACATCTCAGTTGAGCAGAACTTTAGTTAAATAGCACATTTTTTGCAGTTACAGAAATCTATTTTGCTGAGAGATGGGGGGGATATGCAGCTGTTGAAAAACAACAGCACTTGTAACTAATTCAGAGCTCTTGGACAAATCTGTTAAGCTGTGTTCCCATTAAACCCAAACTCTGTGATTAGAATGAACAGTTCAAATTCAGTATTTATATCTGTTTATCTGTTTTCTATATTCATCTTTTTTTTAAAAAAAGATGCTTTCTAAAGAGACTGTGTGGCGTGGCATATATTTTGCATGCAGAATGACAAAAGTCAAATTTCTAGTTAAAAGGATCAGGTAGCAGATAATGAGGAAGGAATGACTTGAGACAGAGCTGCTGTCAGTGAGACATAGTTGATAATACTGAGTAGATGGGCGGGCGGGGCAAGAGTTTTGTATGGTCTTCAAAACCAGTGTGCGGGTGTTCGCAGCATTACAGAACAATTCAACAAACAGGGCGGGGAGAACCAAAGGTGGACAATCCAGTTTCCCCAAACACACTACTGGGTTTGTGGCAGCAGAGCAAAAGCAGGAACAAAGTGGCAGTATTGATCCTCTTTCCAAGGTTTTGATTTTTCCTTTAGCAGTATTGCTCCCATTGGAAACAGTGGGAGGGAAGAATAAATATGCCAGCTCCAGGGCTGGTATGTTTCCTCCATTTTGTGGCCATATCAGGGGTCATTTTTCCAGTCTGCCCTCAGCCAAGCCTTCTTTATACTTCTGTTGAGGTTAAAGCTCATATGTTGGTAAAGCAAGGGATGTGAAGGTTTCCATAGCAGCAGGGAGCAGCTTCACAAGGTCAGATTTCACTGATGGCAAATTTCTCTCTACACTCGGAGTGGGAGGTCTGAGACATCCTCCCAGTGACCATAGGGCTGCAGCTTTTTTTTTTTAATACATTTTTATTAAAGATTATCTCGGTTTACAAAAGAACATGCCTTGCCTCTTTTTTCAGGTTCTACAGTCTTTCTTACAGATCAGTTACATTTCTTATGAGACCTTGGTGTTGAGTACAGTATAAGGTTGGGGAAGAAGAGAGGAGAGGAGGGGTGGGGTGGGGAGGCTTATATTCTTTTGTATAGTGTGCCTGTGGGGTTTTGTGTCAGTGTCAACTGGGTAGGTTCTTTCTATTCGTTTATTACATTTTCTTGGTAGTGAGAGGTATTGGGGGGGCAGGGTGTAGCTGGCTGCAGTGGGTGTGGGCAGTGTGGGGACCAGCTAGGCAGCGCAGTTGGTGCTGGCGGTCCTTAGGAGTTCCTTGTGGCCGTGATGCTTGCCATCTTGTCTTGCTGGAAGTCCGGTTGCAGCTTTAATTGATTAAAACTCATTACTCTTTCATATGCTATTAATCAACTATGATTTCCTTTAAACAAGTGACAGCCCTAATATTTCCTCCCAGTTATCATGTATGTAAGAGATGCAAATGTACGTAGAAAGCATGGGTATGGTAGTTCTTCCTCTTACCTTGGGAGGATAAAAAGTTTTTCTGCACTAAACAACCTTGCATGCCTGCTTATCTTTTCAGCCACCTGATAACCAGAAACTGGGCTTATTAGAAGCAATGTTAAAAATTGGTGACTGGCAACATGCACAAAACATTATGGATCAGATGCCTCCATTTTATGCAACTTCACACAAACCTATTGCTGTTGCTCTTTGTCAGCTTCTTCATGTGATGATTGAACCTCTCTACCGAAGGTAAAGAAATTGAATAAATTATATGTGCACTGAGAATATTTGTACAAGCTAACCATGCATACGTCTGGCTGTGATTGATTGAAATGAGCTCTTCTTAACCTTTGATTCATCTGTGGAGATGTTAGGAAATGTTTATGAACTTTCTAAAAGCTCACACATGGTGCTCAAAGCTAGGAGGCCAATGAGGCTGCTTGTTGTTTAGGGATGCCAAGTCTTAAAATGAAAACAAATGTACTAATACCTAGGCAGGCATTGTCTGTGTTAGGGCCTAGTTTCAAACTTTCTATTCTCCTAATGTGTAAAGCCATAAAAGGGGCAGGTGGATGGAAAGAGATCCAAAAGAAAGAGAAAAATCCTGCTCAGTCACACTGTCCCTTAGTAGGCAACAATAGCAGTGTTGCTGAAAAGGTCTTGGCAGAAAAGCTTTTTCACAGTATGATTTTTTTGTTGTAATATATTTGCTTGGTCTGGTGTATTTTTTTTAAAAATTCGTTCTATACCTGCACCTCTTGTGCCAAATTGAAATTGTTTGCAGAAGTTGTTAACTGAATGCATATCCCTTTGCCTAATATTCACCAGCTCCTCTATTTTGAGGTTGGTAATAATAATAATAATAATAATAATAATAATAATTTATTATTTATACCCCGCCCATCTGGCTGAGTTTCCCCAGCCACTCTGGGCGGCTCCCAATCAGTGTTAAAAACAGTACAGCGTTACATATTAAAAACTTCCCTGAACAGGGCTGCCTTAAGATGTCTTCTGAATGTCAGGTAATTATTTATCTCTTTGACATCTGATGGGAGGGCGTTCCACAGGGCGGGCGCCACTACCGAGAAGGCCCTCTGTCTGGTTCCCTGTAGCCTCACTTCTCGCAATGAGGGAACTGCCAGAAGGCCCTCGGCGCTGGATCTCAGTGTCCGGGCTGAACGATGGGGGTGGAGACGCTCCTTCAGGTATACAGGACCGAGGCCGTTTAGGGCTTTAAAGGTCAGCACCAACACTTTGAATCATGCTCGGAAACGTACTGGGAGCCAATGCAGATCTGTCAGAACCGGTGTTATGTGGTCCCGGCGGCCACTCCCAGTCACCAGTCTAGCTGCCGCATTCTGGATTAATTGCAGTTTCCGGGTCACCTTCAAAGGTAGCCCCACGTAGAGCGCGTTGCAGTAGTCCAAGCGTGAGATAACTAGAGCATGCACCACTCTGGCGAGACAGTTCGCGGGCAGGTAGGGTCTTAGCCTGCGTACCAGGTGGAGCTGGTAGACAGCTGCCCTGGACACAGAGTTAACCTGCGCCTCCATGAACACCTGTGAGTCCAAAATGACTCCCAGGCTGCGCACCTGGTCCTTCAGGGGCACAGTTACCCCATTCAAGACCAGGGAATCCCCCACACCAACCCGCTCCCTGTCCCCCAAAAACAGTACTTCTGTCTTGTCAGGATTCAACCTCAATCTGTTAGCCGCCATCCATCCTCCAACCGCCTCCAGGCACTCACACAGGACCTTCACTGCCTTCACTGGTTCTGATTTAAAGGAGAGGTAGAGCTGGGTGTCATCTGCATATTGATGAACACCCAGTCCAAACCCCCTGATGATCTCTCCCAGCGGCTTCATATAGATATTAAAAAGCATGGGGGAGAGGACAGAACCCTGAGGCACCCCACAAGTGAGAGCCCAGGGGTCTGAACACTCATCCCCCACCACCACTTTCTGGACATGGCCCAGGAGGAAGGAGTGGAACCACTGTATGACAGTGCCCCCAGCTCCCAGCCCCTCTAGACGGTCCAGAAGGATGTTATGGTCGATGGTGTCAAAGGCCGCTGAGAGATCCAGCAGAACTAGGAAACAGCTCTCACCTTTGTCCCTAGCCCGCCGGAGATCATCAACCAGCGCGACCAAGGCAGTTTCAGTCCCATGGTGAGGCCTGAATCCCGATTGGAAGGGATCCAAATGGTCCGTTTCCTCCAGGCATGCTTGGAGTCGTTCAGCAACCACCCGCTCAATCACCTTGCCCAAGAATGGCAGATTTGAGACTGGGCAATAGTTGGCCAAATTGGCCGGGTCTAAAGATTTTTTTTAAGAAGCGGTTTAATGACCGCCTCTTTCAGCAGGTCTGGGAAGGCTCCCTCACAGAGGGAAGCATTCACCATACCACAAAGCCCATCGCCTAGCCCTTCCCGGCTCGCTTTTATCAGCCAGGATGGGCAAGGATCAAGGAGACAGGTGGTCGGTTTCACTTGTCCAAGCAGCCTGTCCACATCCTCGGAGGTAACAGATTGGAACTGATCCCATGTAACAGGACCAGACAGAACTCTAGCACTCTCCTGCCCTGGCCCTGCTCCCACGGTGGAGTCTACCTCCTTCTGAATCTGAGCGATTTTATCTGCAAAAAACTTTGCAAAAGTATTGCAGGAGATCCTGGAGTCCCTACCAGGCCCCGGTGGTACAGGTGGTTCCGATAGATTGCGAACCACCTGAAAAAGTCTCCTGCTGCTGTTTTCTGCAGATGCAATGGAGGTGGCGAAGAAGGCCCTCTTCGCCGTTGCCATTGCCACTTGGTAGGCTCGACGTTGAGCTCTAACCCGTGTCCGGTCTGATTCAGAATGAGTTTTCCGCCACCGGCGCTCTAGCCGTCTCAACGATTGTTTCATCACCCTCAGCTCCGGGGAAAACCACGGGGCTGTCCGGGCTCCATGCAATCGGAGAGGGCACTTCGGAGCCAGACAGTCAATAGCCCTGGTTAACTCCGCATTCCAGCGTGCCACCAGGGAATCAGCTGAAAGGCCATCAACTTGGGATAAAGCATCCCCTACCACTCTCTGGAAGCCAATTGGATCCATTAAGTGGCGGGGGAAGGGTTGCGGAGAAGTCCAGTTGCACCAGGAAGTGATCTGACCATGGCACTTCTTTTGTTTCGCTTTTAGTTAGTGTCAGATCACCAACATCCATAGAGGTGAACACCAAGTCTAAGGCATGTCCACGGCTATGAGTTGGGCCAAACTTATTCAGGGACAGCCCCATGGAGGCCATGCTTTCCACGAAGTCCCGAGCGGCCCCTTGTAAGGTTGTGTCGGCATGGATGTTAAAATCCCCCAGGACAACCAAGCTAGGTGTCTCCAGGAGCATATCCGCCACAACCTGAAGCAGCTCGGGCAGGGAATCCTTGGTGCAGTGGGGAGGTCGGTACACCAGTAGGAATCCTGTACTTCCCCTATTGCCCAACTTCCAGAACATGCACTCAGAAAACTGGGTCTTCCCAATAGGACGCCTGGTGCAGACTAATGACTTCCTAAAAATCACTGCAACCCCCCCTCCCCGCCCACAAGGCCTGGGTTGCTGTGCGTAAGAGAAACCTGGTGGGCAAGCAGCGGCAAGGACAGGCCCATCTGCTTCATCCAACCAGGTCTCTGTCACACATGCCAGGTCAAATCCTCCATCCACAATCAGGTCGTGGATGGCAGTGGTTTTATTCATCATTGACCTGGCATTGCACAGCAACACTTTCAGGTCATGTGGGTTTCCCTTGCTGATTACTGTATCCTTCCGGTCAGGACCAGACCTGGAGGCAGGGATAGTCCTCAAACAACGACTAAACCTGCCTCCTCGGTAATGACATGGTCTGGTCTTAGCATAACTCCTCCTCCTGCCCGTGATCACTGAGATCGGGTGTCCCAATACATCCCCCCCTGTGGAACCTGCCCCACCCAATCTATTGGGTGAGGCCCACTCCCAGGCAGCCATGACCCTTCCCCTTAAAAAGCAAAATACAAACTATATAATAATTTAACAGAATAATAATAATAATAAAACAGAACAGAACAAAACAAAGCAAGAAACAATAGCGCTGACTAAATGCTTATCCCACCCCAAGCAAAAATAAAATAATGAAATAATATAATATTATAAAAAACAACAACCACCATTTAAGGTGCTGCAAATTAAAAGCAATTAAAACATTTAAAACCATTTTGTCTATTGCTGCCGGTAGCTGCTCAGGCCTCTAAACTGTAGTGGTAGTGCAGGCCCCGCCCCCTAGGCCGGATGGAGTTGGCAGGAGAGGGAGCGGTCCTCCCAACACTCACACGAGCAGCAGCAGCCGTGTCCCGGCGGCCTTGATGGAGGCCCTCAAGCTGTGGCGGTGAGTGCAGGCCCCACCCCCTAGGCCGGATGGAGTTGGCAGGAGAGGGAGCAGTCTTCCCAGCACTCACCAGAGCAGCAACAGCAGCAGTGTCCCGGAGGCCTCTCTCAGGCCTCTTATGCTGAGTATAATGGTTGTGCATTATATGGAGGAAATCTGACAAGTGCACGGATGTGGCAATTACAAGTAATGCACAGAAACTGTAGAAGAAAGTACTTTGATATGTTTAAAGTATAAACTGTGGAAGGGCCATAGCTACTTTGCATGCAGAAGGACCCGGGTTTAATCACTGGAATCTCTGAATATCCCCTGCCTGACACCCTGGGGAGCTGCTACCAGTCAGTGTAAGCAATACTGAGCTAGATGGACCAATGGTCTGGCTCGGTAAACAGCAACTTCTACTGCTCCTAACTGTAAAACTTGCCTCTCATTTACAGGGTTGGAGTACCCAAAGGTGCCAAAGGGACACCAATTCTTCCTTTGCAAAACAAGAGAGCACCCAAGCAAGTAGAAAGTTTTGAAGATTTAAGAAAAGAAGTGATCAACATGCTTTGTTACCTTGGCCCTCATCTCTCTCATGACCCCATATTGTTTGCAAAAGTAGTGCGTCTTGGAAAAGCATTTATGAAAGAGGTTGGTAACCTTCCAGTTAATGAGCAAAATTTCCTAAAAACTGTTTCTGTGCCCTACAGAAGTATATTTTGTAGCTTTGTACATATTAGCATGCATATGTGGGAGATCAAAGACTTCCTGAAAAGATTTTAAAAGGAAAATGTTGATGGCCTAATCTTGTCCCTATTTAAAGTGAAAGGTGTTAGCGTTCTGAAAGTTGAATAACGATAGGAGAGTATATTTCTTATTAAACACAAATAAGAAACAATTACTTACAGCCTTTATAAGCTATTTTATAACGAAAGATTCCTTAGCAAACTTACAAGATAAAATACAGCTAGCTAAAGATTACTTGATAGTAGCATAGAAAGTAACAATAAAAATGATGCAGCCTAAAAAACAAGACGTGTAGAGTAAAACAGTAATACTTAAAACAGGATTTTAAAAAGTTCTCTGGAGAAGATGTCAGGATCTGAATTGGCACATGTGGTAAGAGGTGATTTTGAACTGCCCCAAAGTCCTTTAGAGCCCTTCATTGCTTGGTTACTCTAGCATCAAACCCCAAAGATCCTGAAAGATAAAGGCAAGCACTTCAGATTGGGCCCAGATATGGAATGGAAGCTGCTGGAGATGCCTGAACTTCAGCATAATGTGTTTTTTAATGCCCAGTCCTAGTTAGTTCAGAGTATGGCAGCAGGATTGTGAGCTAAAGTTTCCATACTGTTTTAAAGACGGCCTCATATACAACATATTGAAGTAATCCAAATGAGAGGATACCAGGGCCTGGGTAATTGAAGTGCAGCTATGTATACATGTTCAGGTCTTCCAGATTTGGATAGCAAATTATGATTTGCTACAAAGAAAATGACTGGAAGTTTTTAATTGCCATGTGCAAAGAAGGGTTTGGAGAAGGGAGTTTACAAACCAGAGGCCCCCACCTGCTCTTCTCTAGTAATGCTAATGTATAATGCTGGCAACTCTGCTCTAAAAAAAATTGAACTTTAGTAGATGTTTTGGATATAGGAAGTTTTCTGACAAGATGTCTGTAAGTCTTGTAACACTTATTCTTTCCCTAACCTGCCACCCCATTTTTTACTTCTCATCTTTTCCATTGTAAATTGTGAGTAATGCACACTTCCATGGTTTTAAAATGCTATTTCCGACTGACTAAAAAAACAAAACAAAACAAAAAACATGTAAACAGGTACCAAAATGAAGCTTTCATGCCATTTGTATTTTGGAGTGTTTCTTTGGGATTATGTTATAAGAAGTTGTTTTTACAAATAATGTACTGTTGCCAATCCATTGAGAGAAAATGTTAACCCTTTTCTTACAGAAAAGTGCCCTCTGTAATTTCCTTGTTAAACAGCTGAAAATATTCACAGTAGTTTCCATGGGAAGTACAGTAAAATATGTCTTCTAACACTTTCAAGTTTTTAAGCATCTGTTAACTACTTGTATAAGCACTTGTAAATCTAAATCCTTGGCAGTTTTTGACAAATGTCTCTGTAAATATCACTTGCAAGGCACAATATATTTTGCAGAAAGCATCAAGCATACTGTTGAGACTTGATTCTACCCCCCCACCCCCCAGTAGTGGTAAAATGTCTGAAGTGTTCAATAGCAAACAAGTTAAGCACAGTTCAAAGTGACAAGGTTGCAGTTCACACATTGGCCCAACCATTATTTAAGAGTAGACGAACCTCTCCTTTGGTGTGCTTCCGCAAAAAGGAGATTGGAAGCATCTGTTCCTGGATTAAACTAATCAGAGTTTGCTTGTTATGTCAAAACTGCAGGCTCTGGTTATTTTAAATTGTATATATATTTTTAACAACAACAAGAAGTCATGTCTTAAATTACAGTTTGATCCTAGTGTGTGTCAGCAGACCTTACTTAAAGTAATTAACCATAGGTTAATTTATAATGATTATTTGAAAACAGAAAGGAGATTCTTCTAATTTTCTTGCTGTTTTGTCAGAGGGAAGGAGGGAATTCACAAACCCAAGGCCCATTCATGTAACTCTAAACTGGTTTAGTATTAACCCCAACTTGGCTATTGGCTTCTAAAGGGAGGGAAGCATACTTACAAGAGGGTCCAGACATTTGTGGTGGTTCATACTCCGGAGAGCTACTACAGACAGTTGTGGCTGGAGCAACACCATTCCCCTCCTGTGTTCAGCAGTAAAGAGAGCTGCTCCTTACTACTCAGCTTTGTATTCACCTTATTCAGTACCCCACTTTCTCTTCAGCAGCAGACGACCAAGGAATCCAATTTTGCAGACCTCGCTCTAGCACAGCTGATCTCTGCACTTGGGAAGGGGGAATAACCTGACTTGCTCAAGATTGTCTTTGATATGAGACCATTGCATTTTAGTAGTATTTGATTGTTTGTTGTTGTTTTTAGCACCAAGCAGATGCAGGCAAGCAAGAGGAAAAAGAGAAAATGGTGAGCTGTTTTAAAATGTATTCTTGACTCCCCCCTCCAGCCTTGATTATAAGTGTGGCAGAAATGACCATATATCTGGATAGTCTATGTAATGTGGCTTAAAGCTGGAACAGCTATAATAAAAGTTGCAACTCAGTGCTAATCCTGTGGCCTGCCACTCTGGCTGTCTTGGAAGGCCAAGGAAGGTTTCAAAAGCTTTGAATATGTTTTACTTCTTTGTTTCTATAATAATAATAATAATTTAATTGTTGTATTAACATTTTTAATGTTGTAAGATACTTTAGATGGGCTTCACCCTGAAGTGTGGCATACTACTATTTCAAAGTATGCAAGAAGCACAATTCTTCTAAAGCCTCTCTAGCTTCCAGGGCTCAAGTGTACTGTTGAAGACCCAAACACTTGTCTGGCCTCAAATGTGCACTGAGATATTCACATACAATGTCCATTCATTTCAGTGCAGGAAGTTTTCAGAGCTTGTGTTATTAGAGTAGTTCACCAACAGGGTGAGGGGATGTGAGAGGATGTTATATATGCACCAACCTTTCTTGCCCCCCCCCCACCTTCCCCAATGTCTATTCCTATTGTACATCACATGTCATAGCTGTCAAATACAGCTTTTCTACCTCGGTTGCCTGAATAGAAAAAGCAGGTGATTGGTCAACTAGGACAAATGTGTCCTGATTTAGTAGTGCCTAGTAAAACTGTGGTGAACCTTCTCCCTTGGAATAATGGGACTGTAGACACTTAACACTGTTGCCACAGTGACTTCATTAATTTTTGCTGTTTTGTTTTCTTCACAAGTCTATTGGGAAGGTGGCATAGAAATGTACTGCAACAGCAGCTTCTGTATATTGTCATATTTTAAAGCCATGTTGTCTTTTAAATTCAAAAATATATAACAGAAAACTGACAGAATTTACTGTATTTTTCGCCCCATAGGGCGCTCCTAGCTTTTTTGGGGGGGAAATAAAGAAAAAAAAATTTATTTCCCCCCCAGGCGCGGGGCTGGCGCGGGGGAAGCCCGAGCTTCCCCCGACCCCAGCCCCCAGAACAGCCTGCTATCCGCAAGCCTAGGGAGCCCAGTGGGAAGTTACGCCGGTCTCCCCAGGCTTGTGGAGAGCTGCGCGAAGCTCGGGCGCGCTCTTCAGCACGCCCCAGGCTTCGGAATGCAGGCAGCTCTGCGCAACCCTTGGGAGACCGGCGCAACTTCGCGCTGGGCTCCCTAGGGTTGTGCAGATCTGCGTGAAGCCCGGGAATGCAGGCAGCTCTGCGCAACCCTTGGGAGACCGGCACGACTTCGCGCCGTTCTCCCTAGGGTTGCGGAGAGCTCCTGAGCCTGGAGAGCGAGAGGGGTCGGTGCGCACCGACCCTCTCGCTCTCCAGGCTTCAGCGAAAGCCTGCATTCGCCCCATAGGACGTACACACATTTCCCCTTCATTTTTGGAGGGGGAAAAGTGCATCCTATAGGGCGAAAAATATGGTAATCCTTTTTTAAATGTAAAACTAGTAGCCATAGACTTTGCTTCATAAAGTTGTAGAATGTCTACCCTTTGATTTTGCCTTCAAATAAGATAATTCCTTTCCTTTCCTTCAGGAGTTATTATTCAGCTGTTTGCTGAGTATTACCGACCAGGTTTTGCTTCCTTCTCTTTCTTTGATGGATTGTAATGCATGCATGTCTGAGGAACTCTGGGGGATGTTTAAAACCCTTTGATTTTGCCTTCAAATAAGATAATTCCTTTCCTTTCCTTCAGGAGTTATTATTCAGCTGTTTGCTTAGTATTACCGACCAGGTTTTGCTTCCTTCTCTTTCTTTGATGGATTGTAATGCATGCATGTCTGAGGAACTCTGGGGGATGTTTAAAACATTTCCATACCAGTATCGGTGAGTAATTACCTGTAAAAACTATATGGCATCAGAATTTCTTCATCAAATTATCTAAGAGATGCATTAAATACATATTTTGATTTCTTGGAACCTCCTATAGGTATCGCCTCTATGGGCAGTGGAAGAATGAAACATACAATAGTCACCCACTACTGGTGAGAGTTAAAGCTCAGACAATTGACCGAGCCAAATACATTATGAAGTAAGTTATGTTGAAACTTGTTTTCTGCTGGGGAATGTTGATGAGACTATAGAACAAATTGTAGCAGGGCAGTGAGTCCCATTGGGTTCCATGAAGCTGGCTCTCACAATTAGTATCCTTGGGATTGCAGCCTAAGTATTGGATTGAAATGCTACCTGCTATTACCAAGTAATACCGTGTTTAAATGAAACTTCCTAAAATGTAATTTATATTTAACAAAAAAATACTGCCTTAACTTAGAAAGCTGGGCAGCCTGCAAGACGTCTACAATTTAATATTAAATCAGTTTCATTAGATGGTTAGATAAATTACTGTACACGAAGAAGTTTCCATTTACAGAAGGAGAATTTGATTCATGGAATGGGTCCTTTCACAAACACAGCTCCCTTTTCATGAATGGAAGCTTGCTCCATGAAGAGAGTAATTATCCCACCCCATAAGGAAATGTGATGGCTAGGGCCCTGGGTACAGGTGGTTACCATAGGAGTAGTAGGTGTGTCAGAAAATTTAGCTGTTGGGACTGTGCTATTTTAAATAATGCCAGCTTAAATAAAATGATTATACACTAGCTTTACAACCTTGTTGAATCTTTTCTGCCCCAGAGCGTTAATTCATTACAGTTTGCCTATTTGTATTTTATATCCTCTGTTCCAAGCTGAATACAGAAATCGTATGTGAAAGTTGCCTGTAACATGAGTTTTCCCTGGGGGAATTGGGAAGGTCCATCTACATTTACAGGAAAATAGATTAATCTAAAGCCGTGACTAGAAAATGTGAATATAAGACTGCAAAGAGAGGAACTAAAATGTGAATGTACTCTTGTAGGCGTCTAACCAAGGAAAACGTAAAGCCATCTGGAAGACAAATAGGAAAACTGAGCCACAGCAACCCAACCATTTTATTTGATTATGTATGTGGCAAGATAAGTATTGACTACCTTTGCTTTTCTAGTAGCCCCATTTAAGTTACCTTATTCTGAAAAACAAGTTGACTATTTTAAAATGTGTTTTATATGGGGGTGGGGGTGATGGGACGTGGTAGAGGTATTATTGTATTATGCATGGTGTGGAGAAAATGGATAATTTTCCTCTAAAATGCTAGAAATTGAGGCAATCCAGGAAAGCTGTGTTGTCAGGACGGGGAAAAAAGGTGCTTCTTCAAAGACCCTATATTCACTCCCACAATATGTAGCAATGGCTGTCAACCTGGATGGATTTAAAAGGGAGTGAGACAAATTCATGGCAGATGAGGCTGTAAATGCCTACTAGCCACGATGGCTTAGCTCTGCTTCCACCTTTGGAGGCTGTATGCCCCTGAATACCAGCTGCAGGGAATTACAAGTGAGGAGAGTGCTGTTGTGCTCAGGTTCTGCTTGTGAGATTCCCATAGGCGTCCAGTTGCCCACTTTGAGAAAAGGAAGCTGGACTAGATGGGCCATTGGCTTAATCCAGCAGGGATTACATTACATTATATTACATTAGGAAAAGTGCACACATTAACTATGTAATACAGATGTGTGCATGAAGTTTCATTATTTTTTCTTCAGATTGAAAACCATAACAGTAGTTTCTTTTAAGAGTTTTTAAGGACTTCTGGCTTCTTCTTCTTATACTTGGGAAGCTCATTTTCGCTCTTTTTCAGATTTTGTCTCAGATACAGAAGTATGATAATTTAATCACCCCTGTTGTCGACTCATTGAAATACCTCACTTCCTTGAACTATGATGTCTTGGCATGTATCCTTTTGCTAACTTCTTAGAACTGCTAGTTACCCAATGGTTATATGTTACACAAGTTTTTTTTTTTACTGCTCGAATGAGAATCATTACTTCAGCTGAGCAAGCGCCTTTGTTGTACAGGGGTGCTTCTTAAACAGCTCAGCTGAGCAAGCTGCTTTCTAGCCAGATGAAAGTTCCTGGCCTGCGCCTGCTCTGTGATTTGCTGCCCTCTGCGGGAGGCAGGGGAGTGCTGAGACAAAAGCATCTTCTGGCTTTGAGTGGTTTACCATCTGGGCAAATATTTTGAATGGGTTATCACGTGTGGATTTAAAGCTGGTTTTCAACGATCTATCACCATATTGCCCAGGCCTACTCCTTGCACAAATTGAATAATTGAAAGCATATGTTTTTTAAAAAATTCGTCCTGCCATTGTAGCACAGTAGTAGTAATCCCTTTATCATATATTGTAAATTTCTAAATATTCAGACTCATGAACTGCTGTTAGTGTAATTATTAAGAGCCAAGCCGTATTTGACTGCTCATTTGGCCATGTGTCATAGATTTAGGGAGTTGTAGCTTTTGACAGAAGAGGAATAAATACTCCTAAGGGTGTTCCTTGTTCTTTACTTTATCCTTTACTTTATTTGAGTTGGCATACAATAATGGCAGTGTGAGAAAAAGGAATTTGAACAAGAACTCAAAACACTTTGGAACCACAGAGATATATTCCTGAAGTGTTCATCGTTTTAGGTTTCTGCTATAATATCACAGGTAGTAGTGTATGCCAGGTGTCTCAAAATATTGTTAAATTTACAAAGCAAAATAATTAAATGTTTAATACTGCATGTAATTATGTTTGGGGAAGAATTCCTCCTTAGCCTCAGCAAAGATTGCATAATTGAAGCACTGGCTAATCCTGAGAAGGAGAGGATGAAACACGATGACACCACAATCTCCAGTTGGCTTCAAAGTTAGTACTTGGGTTTTATTTATTTTTAATTGGAAATGCAGTCCTCTCGTTACTTAGCACCTGCTAACGTGTTTACTTCATTAATTAAAACATTTGTATCTTGCCTTTCTATTTTAAAAAATCCATGTTGTGGCTAATGGTTGTTAAAGTGTGTGTGCACGCGCACACACAAATCAAGCATTTCAAAAAACACACAGAGCAAATGTACTCCAGAGCCATCTGGAATACAATTCTGAAATAGCTACAAGGGGGGGGGGGAGAGTGCTTTAGCCACCTGTCTGAAAATCAACAAGGCTCTAGGATGGGAGTTCCATAGGCCTGAGTAGCCCCTAGTACAATTCAGAAAGAGCAGGAATGTAGAAGAGAGGGCCTCCAAGAACCTCTGTTGTTGGCAACAGCTTGGCAGCCACTTACCTGTAAATTCACGGCACTTGAATAAAAATTGGAGCCAGGAAATGTATGGTTGCAGACACGATTCCTTAAGTACAGGAAGAGAGGGCAGGAGGGAGGGACCAGGTAGAATGTCATTTGCACACTAAGAAGTGTGAAAAACAGGTTCTAAGGATAACTTGCTTTGGACACATGAGAAGTAGTCTATTGATATGACGTTACTGAATGTGCATGACATAGGAAAGCTTATATTTCAATGACAGCAATTCAGGTTCGTTTTCCTCCCATCTATTTTAGGTTTAGCTAGCTTCTGTGGTGCTGTTTTTCGAAAATATCCTATAGAACTAGCTGGTCTACTTCAGTATGTGGCAAACCAGCTAAAGGCTGGGAAAAGGTAAGTAGAGCATGGTTACTTTAGATCTCAAAAACTATGCCAGTTTGGTAGTTTTTGTTGCCCTCATTGGAGTGTTTTAATATATTTTGATAAGTTGTGTTTAATATAACTTTGCAAACTTTAAGATTTATGAAGATCCTAGGATTCAAAATACACCAAGACATAAACAGTTGGGTAATTTGCACCGAGCAGCTAGGTTACATTCACATCTCCCAGGGAAATTGCACGGAGTGCCTACTACATTGTGAAGTTGCATTGAAGTGCTCATGTATACGGTCTGCTGTTCATGTTGCTGTTACAACACCTTGACATTGATGCACTTGGATTGGAGACAAAGTGGTTTGTGCTTCATGTGCAAGTAATTTCAGAAAGATATTGTAATGGGCTCTTAGACCTTTCACAATACTTTCAATAGAGTTCAAGAGCAGTGGTTTTACCTGCCTATGTTTCACTCTTTCTCTCTTCCCCCCGCCCCCTCGCCCATTTTTGTTCTCATTCTTTTCCATAGCTTTGACCTGCTTATTTTGAAAGAGGTGGTACAAAAAATGGCTGGAATAGAAATCACTGAAGAGATGACAATGGACCAGCTAGAGGCCATGACTGGTGGAGAGCAGCTGAAAGCAGAGGTGTGTTTGAAGCTAGAGAGAAAAGAAAAATAGATGTCCCAAAAATACATACATAGTAGCTTAGGATGTTTCACCTGCTGTACAGTCGTACCTTGGAAGTCGAACGGAATCCATTCTGGAAGTCCGTTCAACTTCCAGAATGTTTGGGAACCAAAGTGCGGCTTCGCCAATCAGAAGCCCCGTCTGACGTTCTGCTTCCAAAAATAGTTTGCAAACCGGAACAGTCACTTCCGGTTTGCAGCATTTGGGAGCCAAAACGTTCAAGAACTAAGATGTTCGAAAACCAAGGTATGACTGTATTTATTTTTTAAGGTAGATGGATAATTGATACACCTCTGAAAGGTATATTAATACAATAACAACTATGGAAATAATTTTAGTATCTAGAGCAGCATGTTCACGTGCCTGATCTACGTGTAACACTTCCGATTCTTAGCAGCAGTTAAGCAGGAATGTTTAGCAGGATTATTCCTCTTCTGTCACACACAAGTTTCTCACTACTGGCCTTAAGCATTCTTAACTGGTACCATCTTTAAATATGGTTAACTCTTTGTTTTAAATTAAATTAATTATTACTTTACTGGGGCTCAAGTACCTGCTCACTTGGCTCACCCCACCTCCACAAAGCTCCCCTTCCCCTTACTCCTCACCAAACCTCCACAGCTTGCTACTGCTGCAAGCCCAGCTCACTCGCCCGCTTCACTTGCCCACACAGCTCCTGTCATTTAGTTCACAAACCCAGCTCACTCGCCTACTTTAAACCAAAGCTACGATCCCAGCTTGCTTGGCCACTTCCTTGCTCAACCCACCAACTGCCTGTCTAATGCTTCATTCACCCTGGAGCATGTGCAGCCTGTCACCAGTATAACGATGGACTAGTTTAAATATGGCATAGAGAGAGAAAACTATCCAAAATCACAAATAAACAATGCACTGTTCAGTTACCTTTTTAACATTTGCTTCTTACCAAAGCAATAAACAAGGGGGTTGCTGCTAACCAGGGATTCGAAACCTGCCTTCAAATGTGTTGTGAAATCCTGGCTAGCAGTGAACTTTCCTGTTTGCCTCAACGGTGGTTAAGATTGGTATTTGGACCATTGCATAGCATAGGAAAGGAGGAGAAGTGCATGTTAACATGGCCTTCCAGTTTCAGAACACGCAAGTGCTGCTATCAGAATGCTCATCTGCAGATTCAGTTATCCAAACATAAAGAATTATGCCCAAGCCTCAAGTGCATGGCTGATTGAGATACCCAAGCAGCCAGACTTTGCCCACTACTTGACTTGTTTGTGCATTTTCGGTCAGAAACCATGGAAGAGAGGGAGGTGTGAAGAGAGATGAAACAAAGCAGTTTTTCCTTTGTCTCACTTTTGCTGGTTGGCTGCAGCCGTTTTAGGAAGAAACCATGGTGGGAGTGGGGAGAGACATCACAGATTAGAAATAATCGAAATCATCAGCTCATTATGCAAATGCTTGGAATGCATTGTGTTTGGAAAGCAGGGCCTGCATATACTGGCATGTAGACCCTCAAAGGTTGCCCAAGAAGGTTCGTCACCCTCAGCCTGAAAAAGCTTCTCAACCCCGGATCCTACTGTAAGCCAGGAAATGTCAAATTTCTCTAAGCATGCTAGGGAACTGGAGAGGAAGAAACATTCTAACTCAAGGTTTCCTGAAGGCTATTTACTGTCAGGGTTTGGCACTGTACACCTTAATTTACATCCTCTGCTGTTTTTCTCAGTTTAGGTATCTTAACTACATTTCTTACTTCTTTGGGCAGGGTGGATATTTTGGGCAGATCAGAAACACTAAGAAATCTTCCCAGAGATTAAAAGATGCACTTTTGGATCACGATCTTGCTCTTCCATTGTGCCTTCTCATGGCTCAACAGAGAAATGGAGTGATATTTCAAGAAGGAGGCGAGAAACATTTGAAGCTGGTGGGAAAACTCTATGATCAGGCAAGTAAAATGATCACATTTGTGTTTGTTTTAAGCAAACCTCCATGGAAATGCCATGTATACTGCATTCAGAAAACTGAATTTATATTTTGTAGTATAGATGTTTGTTTTACTTGTGTTTTGGGTTCTTCATGAAATTTACAAAAAGGAAAACTAAGTAGCTTCAGTCATGGCAATCCCTTACCATCCATAATGCTGTCACATTGTTCGACAAGATTCCACTGGCCTGCATAGCTTCTGTAAATTCTGTTTCAGGTGTGATCTTGTACTGTACTGCTAACCAGATTCAGAAGTGACTACAGATTTAGTTGACTATATGGTGTTGTCATATCTGAAGTTGCCTTGAGTATTCATAAGAAATACATAGTTTGTTACTGAGGAACATTTTCTCATTAGTATTACTGCATGTTTATTACAAAAGGTAGTGATTTTCCAGGTATTTTCTTGATTTTTAGAAGGTTAACATTATATTTAAATCTCATTGAAAAGTCTGATCTAATACTTCTCTATTTTTCTATTCAGTGCCATGATACTCTGGTACAATTCGGTGGATTTTTGGCTTCCAATTTAAGCACAGATGATTATATTAAGCGAGTGCCTTCCATTGATGTTCTCTGTAATGACTTCCACACCCCTCACGATGCTGCATTTTTCCTTTCACGGCCTATGTATGCACATCACATTTCAGTAAGTACAGATGTTCAGTTAGCTTGCAGTCTGTATATCCGGAACACACAGTTGTATTGAAAATTAAACCTGTCATTCCACTGATTCTTTTAAAGGGGCCTCACTGAGATTGAAAGCACTCCTCATTCAGTGACTGGGTTTTAAATCTAGCTGACTTAATTTCTTGGACTTAGTTTTGTATTTAAATCTAATAGAGTTAATTAAAAAGGGATTTTGTTTTCTGTTTGAGAAGTGGATAATTGAGTACTTGTGTCTTCTTTTTATTAGTCAAAATATGATGAATTGAAAAAGGCTGAGAAAGGGAACAAACAGCAGCAGAAAGTTCACAAATACATTACAGCGTGTGAGCTTGTGATGGCCCCTGTTCATGACTCGGTGATCTCCTTGCACATCCCAAAGGTCTGGGATGATATCAGTCCACAGTTCTATGCTACGTTCTGGTCACTGACAATGTATGACCTTGCTGTTCCACATAGTAGCTACGAACGGGAAGTCAACAAACTCAAAGTCCAGATGAAAGCTATTGATGACAATCCGGAAATGGTATGTATCGTTTTAAATGTATGTTCGCTTGCCGTTTTTAAGAATCTTATCAGTTCATGAAAACCATTGATCAAGAACAGTTGACAGCATTAGATAATAGGTTTTTTTTAAAGCAATTACATTTTCTGCTCTGAGGTTTTTAGTTACCTTGCTCTTCTCTCTAAATAAAAAAAATATTCCATACAATTCTGCCTGAGCACTGCATTTCTGCAATTCTGGGGCTATTCTAGACCTCTCCACCATTGAGCTTTACAGTGACTAGACACAAGAGAATAGCACTATTTTCAGTTGTAGTGCCTTTCAGTTGTCGTACCTTGGTTCTCAAACAGAATCCGAAAACCAAGGCACGGCTTCCGATTGGCTGCAGGAGCTTCCTGCACTCAATCAAAAGCTGCTTTGGATGTTCGGCTTCCAAAAAACGTTTGCAAACCTGAGCATTCACTTCCGGGTTTGTAGTGTTTGGGAGCCAAGGCGTTTGACAACCAAGGCACGACTGTATTAGCTTTCCAGTGGCATTGAATTGCTTTACAAGGCTCTGTTAGCAGCAGAATAATGGCAGAGGAATGTGGTATGTAGGTTTTCAAGGAGTGCCAGTGTTGAGCATAACCCAGCAGATGTTGGTCCTGTCCAGCTCCCAGCCATTTAAATGGACCTTACATAGGAGACTATCAAACCCTGGTGATTTGTGTTGATATGGTTTGTGGAATAGAAATATAAGGAACATGTTTTACACCTTAATAAGCCAGCTCTTTGTGAAAGATCAGTTTTGAATCTATCCATGTGGTCAGATGGTATAAGGTAAAACTGAAGGACCCCTGACAGGTAGGGGCTAGGGGCACCATGGTAGAAGTAGGCTTCCATAACCATTTACATAACTGAATGGGGAATCATAGACAGAAGCAACAACCATACGCACCATCCTTTAGATGATCCAACAATCAGAAATGAGCACAAATGGGCTTCTAGGAATGTTAAAATTCTGCAGATCACCTGTAAGGAAAAGGAGTGGGCTGCAAGATAAAGTGCTTGCTCACTTTCCCCCCAAATAGCAGTTTAGCAGGATTTCAAAAGGTAAAGGACCCCCGACAGTTAAGTCCAGTCGCGAATGACTCTGGAGTTGCGGCACTCATCTCACTTTACTGGCCGAGGGAGCCGATGTTTGTCCGCAGGCAGTTTTTCCGGGTCATGTGGCCAGCATGACTAAGCTGCTTCTGGCGAAACCAGAGAAGTGCACGGAAACACCGTTTACCTTCCTGCCGGAGCAGTACCTATTTATCTATTTGCACTTTGATGTGCTTTCGAACTGCTAGGTTGGCAGGAGCTGGGACTGAGTAACGGGAGCTCACCCCGTCGCAGGGATTTGAACTGCTGACCTTACGATTGGCAAGCCCAAGAGGCTCAGTGGTTTAGACCACAGTGCCACCAGCATCCACAGCACCACCCGCAGGACAGTATGCACACTATCATATCTGAACACGCCATTTCTTTTTCGTAGCCTCTGAACAAAAAGAAAAAAGAAAAAGAACGCTGTACAGCTCTTCAGGACAAGCTTCTTGAAGAGGAAAAGAAGCAGTTAGAGCACGTGCAAAGAGTACTGCAGAGACTGAAGCTGGAAAAGGATAATTGGCTTCTTGCAAGTAAGTAGCATAGACCTTTTCATCACCAGCCACTTACACAGAATTGCAGCATTCTGACTTTGGCAGCATCTGTGTAAATGATTTGTTAAATATTTGTAAATGAGTGACTGTTCGTTCTTACTTTTTTGTAATGAATATAAAATTCATTACTTGAATGCAGACCCAAAAGTTGGCAGAATTTTGGCACTTTGGGTGGCAGTTTCCCTTGCTTGTAAACATATCTTAGGGCAATTGCCGATCTAATGCCGATGCAATTGTAATTATGCCCAAGAGATTGAGTACCAGCCTTGCAACTTTTGACCTTCCTATAGCACATTCTCTCATCCTGTGTTAACTGGGTATAGGATCCCCCTTTACAGCCCAACTTCAACCTGTCTTCAGTAAGTAGGTTACTGGTTTAGGGTTAACTGTCTTATCACTGGTACCCATTTATCTCTTAGTAGTTTTTCAAGATTGGGGAGGGGGGATTTCCTCTGGGGAGAAGATAGAGATACCTGGTTGAGGGCTTCATCAGGCAAGGACACGCTGTGCACCCAAGTACTCCCACTTTATTTCTTCTCTTTATCAGTAAATGTAAATGCCTTTTTGTGCATGGTGCATGTGGCAAATTAATTTTACTGAAAATTAGATGGTGACGTAATGATGACCTCTTATTTGTTTATTAGAGTCCACCAAAAATGAGACTATAACAAAATTTCTGCAGTTGTGTATATTTCCTCGGTGTATCTTTTCTGCTATTGATGCTGTTTACTGCGCTCGCTTTGTGGAACTGGTGCATCAACAGAAAACACCAAACTTTTCAACACTTCTTTGTTATGACAGAGTAAGTAGCTCTTGTTTATTATTATGATTCTTTGAGAAGTAGTGATGAACCCTTTCAATCAAGGAAGGAAAGATGCACTAGCTGAAAGACGTATTTCTCTGAATTGTAACTCATACAGTATAGTTAATAATGTCAATTCCTTCGCTAATAGAGATGAAACATATTATGGAAACTTGAAATGAAAAAAAGAATCCTAATCTTTCTGGATCAGAAAGCTATTCGATGATTTGGTAGCTTTAAAAGACTGAGAAAGTTGTTGCCTTCATAGGATACTAATGAAATCAGGAAAGTTAATTTTTCAGTGTTTAAAAAATTATTATACAGTTGTTCTCTAACTTTTGTAATAGTAAGGCTTTTTGACATCAGGTTACACTAACACAAGAAACAAAACCTGACTGGAGGGGGGAGGATGATTGGGGATTTCATTTTCATTTCCTTCAACAAATTATTGGAATAAAATCCAGTGTTTCAAGTATAAAAACTTGGTTTCATAGCATTGTAATGTGTCAGAAAAAAAATAAATTCTTGCAGGTATTCTCTGATATAATCTATACTGTAGCCAGCTGTACTGAAAATGAAGCTAGTCGATATGGGAGGTTTCTCTGCTGCATGCTTGATACTGTAACTCGGTGGCATAGTGATAGAGCCATATATGAAAAGGTATGTAAAATGTTCAAAATGCTCACTTGAAAACCTGTCATACTTAGAGAAGTATCAGTGTTGCAGGTGTTTTTCCCCCTAAAGGAAGTAGAAACTTTTGCCGGCCCAGATAATAGGAGCTTGTTGTCATTCAGAAGGACTGTATCATAACTAAAAACTGATACCTGTTTGTAAAGTGTTAAACTATGTTTAGTGGCTTCTCTAGAAGGCCTGCATTTAAATCCTAGCCTAGGGAAAACTTGTTGTTTTTTAAGTAGCAATATATCCATGAGATCTTGACTTCCCCTGTCTAGCCTTAGCCATACCAATATCTGCCCATACCAATATCTGCTCATATTTCAGTATTTTGTATAAACCACTTTCATCTTAACATGCTTCTTGAATAAGCTTAAATATCTTCTTTGTGTACATGCAGGAGTGTGGCAACTATCCCGGCTTCCTCACCATATTACGGGCAACTGGTTTTGATGGTGGGAACAAAGCTGACCAGTTAGATTATGAAAATTTTCGGCATGTGGTACACAAGTGGCATTATAAGTTAACCAAGGTAACCTGATGACACTGTGAAGCTTGTTGGTTTTGTAGTTTTGCTGAGAGCCTCTTGGCAACATCTTTCTCTGCCTTTCCTAGGCATCTGTACACTGCCTGGAAACCGGCGAATATACACACATCAGAAATATCCTGATAGTGCTGATCAAAATCCTTCCATGGTACCCCAAAGTTTTGAACTTGGGCCAGGCTTTGGAGAGAAGAGTCCATAAGATCTGCCAAGAGGAGAAAGAGAAGAGACCTGATCTATATGCATTAGCGATGGGGTAACAAATCCTTCATTTAAAAACATGACTAAATAATACAAGGAAAGCATTCCTGAGGTTTTTTTCTAGATCAGCTTTTTACTTTAGGTTGACTTTGCCTTACCTTGAAAGATTGTGTATCTGTTGGTTTCAGAGTAACTTTGGGTTTTTATTGTAGATGGCTTATTTGTCAGGAACCTTCTTGGGCACATTAAACTCAAAAGTTCTGTCCTTAAAACGTTTGCGTAAACTTAGATAGTACATCTAGGGTTTAACAAAGTTGGCAGATAAGAGCAAGTTGATTAAAAGTATAATATCAAGATAGGGTAGAAAGTGTTATTCTGTACATATTGAACTTTCAGACTTTTTTGATTAAATCCTCATGTATTTTGCATTTTGTACCACATTCTTATACATGCTAACCTCCTTTCTATGTTCCAGAAAAAAACTTTTAATGCATTTCATTCATAGTGTCAGTGATTGGTTATTCTTTTCAGAACGAGGGAAAAATATTTTGGTGGCAGAGGTTTTGAGGATCACAATAAGGATTAAGGTGTTACAGTTGATTTGAAGAAAGTTATGCGATTCTACAAAATCAAATGTTTGTATTTAACTTGGCTTAGTTAAACAACCTACAGTTAAATCATTTGCTTTATCTTTTCAAGCGGCTATCCACTTCTTGTGTTTGTTTTTTTGTGTGTGTTGTGCATATTTAACACTTTATGCGACTTACAGCTATTCTGGACAGTTGAAAAGTAGAAAACATTGCATGATCCCTGAAAATGATTTCCACCACAAGGATCCACCCACCAAGAATGCAGTACCTACAACGGTGCAAAATGGGCCCGGAGGAGCTGGGCTTACTTCTTCACTCACAGTAAATGCAGCTAAACTGGAAGAAAGCACAGCTGAGGAGACTGGTATGTCAGTTACCATAAAAGTAGCAATATAGATGGTGGGAATTCACACTGATGTTTTCTTAGTTTAAAAACAAGAACAGATAAGGGCCAGTTCACACATCCATACCTGTATCATCAGCTTAACTGCTGATGATCTGGAAGAGTGAGAAATTACTCCGTTGAAACACTTTATGACTGAGATAAAGTGAGTTAATACTCTTTCATAGATAGAATTCTGGTCCTTAATGCACATACATGTGTGAACCTGCCCCACTGCTTGTTTAGCTCAGTATTATCAGGAAGGGAAAGATGCATGTGTGCTATACATTAAATAATGCTGAATTGATTTTGATTTTTTTAAAAAATCGCCTTCTTTGTGGTGAAAAAGTTAAGCACCAACTTACCCAAGAGCGAGCACTGTTGAGCTCATTGAGATTTAACTTTTGACATTTATAGGATTGTACTATCAATGTTCATAATAGTTCTTTATGCATATAACTACTGTATGACTAAGAATTGCTGAGGTTCATCTGAGTGGTATTATTATTATTATTATTATTATTATCCGCAATGTAACTTTTTTGTTATTGACAAATACTTATTGATGCATACTGTTTCTCTGTAAAACAAATACGATTTACTTGGGTGTTAAGCACAGCATAATTTGTTTTGAAGACTTTAGACTTCAGTGAGTCTATTGGTTTATTCATTGTCAGTATCTTTTTTTTTTCTTTCAACAGATAAATTATTAAAGGAGAAATCTCAGGGTGCTATTAAAGTGATTAATAAAGCTGCCAGTGCAACACCAAAGCTGACCACAAGCAATGGGAGCAATGCTTCCAACAGGTGAGTAACTGCCACCATTTTCTCTTTAGAATTCAAATTACATTGGGAAAAGATCCGTACAGTCAAACCTCGCTTGTCAAATGTAATCCGTTCCGGAAACCCGTTTGGCTTCCAAAATGTCCAACAACCGAGGCGTGGCTTCTGATTGACTGCAAGAGCTTCCTGCACTCAAGCAGAAAGCCACATTGGATGTTCAGATTCCGAACTGGAGCATTTACTTCTGGGTTTTTGGTGTTTGGGAGCCAAAACATTCCAAAACGAAGCCGTTTGGGAACTGCTTGACTGTATCTTCAAAGGACGACAGAATTCTGGGGTTAAAATGTTTCCATTTTGCTTGGGATGAAATGGAGACTTCCCATTGGTGCACATGACCATGAGGCCATGTCGGGATGGGGTAATACAACTTTATGGGCCTCAAATGTAGGGATGTGACAGAATTCAATTATGCTGATCCCTGGCACAGTCAAGAGCACCAGTCCCTTTGCGATTAGCAAGGAAGAAAGGTACCCCACTTAACTAACTGAACCAACCACTGCTCCAGAAAAAATATTCAATGCCACTCACCACTTAAATTTAAAAAGTGAGAGTATCTCTTGTTAACATGTTTAGGAAAAGCAGAACTTAAAAGGGTTTTTTCACTCTATAGAGAGGGATGTTTTAAATTAAAACATCGCATTTTGTATTAGTACTGATTTCCTTTTTATTTCATATAGCAAAGTTATAAAAGAAAAAGAAGAGAAAGAGAAATGCGGGAAGGAAAAAGATAAGGAGAAAAAAGAGAAAACTCCAGCTGCCACTCCTGAGGCCAAAACACCTGGGAAGGATGGGAAAGATAAACCAAAGGAAGAAAGAGTGAACAAAGAAGACAAAGCAAGAGATAGCAAGGAAAAGACACCTAAGTCTGATAAAGAGAAGGAAAAGAACAAGAGAGAAGAGAAGTCGTCAAAGGATGAAAAATCCAAGATCATTGTGACCAATGCAGAGTCAAAGTCAGCTGCAGAAAAGGAGAAGGAGAAGGAGCCGTCCAGAGAGAGAGAAGTAACCAAGGATGTGAAATCCAAGGAAAACATTAGAGGAGGAGGAGGAGGAGGAGGAGGAGAGAAGGCTCCAGTAGCTGGGTCCTTGAAGTCACCTGTTCCCCGATCAGAAGCATCAGAGTGTGAAAGGGGTAAGCTCACCTCCTTTCTTCTGGTCTTCTGTTTCCTTAACTGTGACGCATAATAGGGTAGAAGGTTTTGATTTTGATTTTTTTAATGGAAACTGCATGCCAGTTAACAGATTAAGCCATTACTTGTTTTTCGTGGGAAAGCTCCATAAAATTGATAAACCATCTTGAATATCTGAGGTTTGTGAATTTCCAAGCACTGATGACCTGCCTCACATTGATTTTAACAATTTAATAAATTAGTTCATTCCTCTCTCTCTTTTCTAGAACAAAAACGTCGCAAAGTTGATACCCATTCTTCTCCATCACATTCCTCAACAGTAAAGGTTAGTATAGCCTGAGGAAGGCAGCGCCCATTTTAGGCTCTCGGTGTTTGGAATGCCAGTGTTCGACTTCCTTCAAGTTTTGTGCCAACTGGAGCCATTGGAGGTTTTATATTGCATTACGAAATGCATTATTTTTCTTGGTTTGGTGGACTCTTTTTTCATATTAAAATTTTTAAAAATATTTTTTTAAAAAAATTAGAAAAAGAAATTAAAAGCTTCAAGGACCTAGCACAAATGTTGTAAATAGAATTTGGAAGTGTCAAGAATTTGTTTATTTTTTAAACCAAAAAGTGCCTCACTGTTTTTAAACAGTCAGATATATTTTTGGAGTGCAGTGGTAGCTACAAGCAAACGAGTGTCTTGCAGCACGCAGAGAGAGGAGCCTATTTTTCCTGCACTAATGTTGAAGAATCTGTAGCACTGAAGAGTTCCTGGAGGATTGTGGGATATGCGATACCTCTGAATTCACCAGGCTTCTTGATGAGCTTCATACCACGGTGTGCCTTCCAAGGAGGAGCCTTGAAAAGGAGCCCCGTTTTAAAGTCTCCTTGGTGATCAGTTCTCCTGTAGTTGTGTATATTCAGTGAGCAGGCAGCTTCTGTTGCACCTTTCCTGCGAGGTTTTTTATATTCCAGTGGGTTCCCACCCTGTTGAGCTCTGCGTTACGCTTAAGCCAGATGCGGCAGCCAAAACCTTCCACCCAGCAAAGAGAAAACCCCCAGCAGTCGAGTGCAGCACAAAACCATGGCTGTAGCCATCTTGAAGACTCAGGGTAGCAATTCCTTGCTCCATGTTTATAATTTTATTTCTAAACCAACTAAGCTCATGGAATCTTTGAATTTGCAGTACGTTGAAGCTTTAAAACTGTAAGTTACCGATGCGTCATCAGAGAAACTGGGATGGATTATGTGGGTGTGTTGCCATCTTGCCAATATTTAAAAAAACTTTCTCTTAAGACGTTGGCATGAGGTGTAGAGCAGCTGGATGGAGTAGTACAATTTCATTAAAGTTTTTGAGTAATAATAGATAGTTGGGATGTTGATCCTCGGGATGTTTGCTTGGGAGCAAGTCCCATTGGTATCAGTGGAATTTGGTCCCAGGCAAACGTGTGGCAAAGATTGCAGTTTTCATTTATAATATTATTGTTTTCTATGCATCTATTTAAATAGCTGCATTTATAGCTATTTAGGGGAATGCTATTTACATGTTTAATGTTAAGTCAGGAAGGTAGAGAATTTCTCTCCCCCACCTCAATCCAGTTGTATAGCTATTACCGTATTTTTCGCTCTATAAGACGCACCATACCACAAGACGCACCTAGTTTTTGGAGGAGGAAAACAAGAAAAAAAATACTCTGAATCTCAGAAGCCAGAACAGCAAGAGGGATCGCTGCGCAGTGAAAGCAGCAATCCCTCTTGCTGTTCTGGCTTCTGGGATAGCTGCGCAACCTGCATTCGCTCCATAAGACGCACACACATTTCCCCTTACTTTTTAGGAGGGAGTCTTATAGAGCAAAAAATACGGTACTTACAAATATAGCACTTCAATAAAAAAAAGATTAAGATATGATGCGGGTTTGGGTGTTTTAAAAAAACTAATTGGCAAACACATTATTTTGTAGCTAGGTTGTTCTTATTATTTAAGTGCATATGAGAAGTATTAATACTTCATTTATTCCCAGAAGGAGTAGCTGTTTTTTGTTTCAAGGGTATGACCCTGCTTCCCCAAGTTCCTGAGTTTCTGAGAACTGTGCGACCTTACGTGTCATCTCCATTCATTTTCTACAGGACAACCTCAGCGAACTCAAGGACTCTTCAGCAAAGGTTTGAATCTTTCAATCACTCACAGAAAATAAATAAAAAATAATGGTTTTTGCAGGTTCAGCTGTGAACAATTTTATAACATGGAGTACATTATAAAAATATGACACCAGGTGGTGCTGTAGCGCTGCAATCCAAAGTCAATGGTAAATTGCATTGGGATCTCTCTCTTTCTCTAGATATAGACGGTGCTTTTTTCTGGGGGGTGGGGTATGCAGGGGTACACATACCCCTAAGCATTTTGTGAATCTAAGCTTGGCCTCATTGTGGGGCAGTATTTCAATATGAGTAGGAAAATGAGAGTATCCCTAATTTTTTTTTTTTTTTTTTAGAAAAAAAGCACTGGATATATAGATATATAGGAGTTTTTTATAGCATTTTTAAATATCTGTGTAGATCCTGCCAGCGTTAGCACTGCAAGATACATTGCAAGCCATGTATGAATTGTTCAAACCTGGCTACCGCAACATGCTGCACTGCTTTAGTGCAATATGCCCACTGGTTTTCGGACTGTGTTCTAGGAAGCCCTACAAAGCTTTTTGGGGCTTCTTCCATATTGTTTAGTTCAAGGTCACACTTTCAGTTAAAGCAGGGCATCCCTGGGCACGTCAGGCATGATCAGTCGTCCTAGAACATGCGCTAGAATCCTCTACAACTATTCTGTGATAGACATTCTTCAATAGTCTGATCAATATTGAAAGTATTCCATGAAGGCAAAAAAAGTTTGATAACCACTGTGGCATATGAGCAACCAGGGGGGCTTGTCTTTTACCAAGGTGCTTGGAATGATTCAGCACTTTTGATGCGATTATTCCCTCCTGTCAGTTCATTAAATCCCCCTGGTTGCACTTAAGCTTTTATAATGTATTTGTGCCATATTTTTCTAAAGAGTTTTTGCTTGTTAGGAAAGCAGCATCTAGCATTTCTGTCCCAAATTGTTGCAGTTACATGCGTTTCCCCCTATGCTTTCCTCAGCTGCCAGCTATGCTGAATGAAATGGGTTTTTTTAATTATTCTATTTTTCACTGGGTTTTAGTTGGAAAAAGCATTTACTCTTTGTGCAAGCGGCAGTTCCATCTACGTGCACAAGCTGAAACTTCTGTGTTGTCTTCAAGGATTGCCCCTCAAAGGGCAAGTTTACTGCAGCTAGTGGCTTTGGAAGCAATCTCCTGAATCAGAAAGCTAGGATTGCTTTGGGGTTGGGTGAAAAGCAGACCTGGCCAGTGCTCTAACCTAAAAAATTAAAAATGCAGGTAGATTTGTCTGACCCAGAATCACCTAGGAGCTGTAAATCTGAATGGCTAGTAAGTGCCGAACCCAGCAATTCCATCTCCTCCTGATAGTCCCATTAACTGGTTTTTAACTGAGAAATCTCATTTGGACCTCCCTCCCACATTGTACTTTCCCTCTTAATCTAAATAGTCTATCCAGTAAGCCATTCTCTCTTCCCAACACCCAACAGTAATAGTACACAACACTTCAGAAACATGTTAAAACAATTTATGGAGTTCCCTGCTGCAAGATGCGATGGCTGTTGCCTTTAAAAAAGCATTAGACAGGTTCTTGGGGGATAGCTGTATTAATTAATATCAGTTGCTAGGGAACAATAGCAGAAGTCTGTTGCTCTTGGTCCTGGTTGCAGGTTTCTGAGCAGCATCTGACTGGCCTCTAGGGAAACCAGGATACATCAACCTGATCTAGCAGGGCTGCTGTTAGGTTCTTGAAAGAATGGGGAGTACACTGATTTAGGTGTGGCAGTCAGTATGAGATGATAATGGATGCAACATTTATGGTTTCATTAGGAAGGGGCAGAGTTGCTTTGATAGGTGAGGGAGGAGACTTACTGATCTGCTTATGGATATATCCGAGATTAAACTTGCAACCCTCTGCTCCCAGTATATTTTATTTGGGTTTTTTTTTTTTTTTGTACTTCAGAAAAGCCAGAAATAATAGGTTCTCCTGGGGAATAATTGCATATGGTTAGAAATAGCGGGCCGGGGTAAAGATTTCTGTTCTTGAATGGCTCCCGTGGGGAATGCTATTTCAAGAAAAACCCAAAAGTTGGGGAAATGCAGAATGTGAAGACTAAACTAGGTGGATATGGAAGATCCTTGAACAAGATCACACATTTTTTTTTGTTTAAAAGCAGCCATGAAGGGTGTGTGTGTGTGTGTGTGTGTGTGTGTGAGTGAGAGAGAGAGAGAGAGAGAGCGCGCGCGCGAGAGAGCGCAAGTGAGACTGGTGCCAGGTATGGAAAATCTGATAACTCTCTTCATGTATTTTTTACGATTTAAATTCCCTCATTCCCTGAAGCTATTTGCCCTGCAGGGAAAAAAACCATATAGGTATGTGGAGAATATAAACTGGAAAAATGCCAGGCCAGTCAGTTTAAACAGAGAAAAACTGAGCATATTTAAATATGTGTTTAAATATGTGATCAGATTGACCTGCCCCTGTTGTGTGGCTGCTTTTATTTTATTTTTGAAAATTTTGATATATCCTAACTACAGATCTTCTATATCATACTAAGTTTGGAACAAGGCTTGCTCTATTTTTCTACTAAGTACTTTGTGGAGTTATTTTTAAAATAGGGAACTAGCTACTATGCAATATTATTGTAAGTAATTTTATGAGTTCTGTGCTAACCCATCCCCAAAGTTGAATGAAAAATTATATTCATGCAACATTTCCATGCGCTGTCTTCTTTCTTGCCACCGAAGCTTAGTTATTTCATATAATCACCAACAATAAAGGCAAACGGTAGCATACAGTTTTATGTACCTTTTATAAATGAGCTTGATAACAAATCTTTTAGGAAGCAAGTGTAGTCCACATCATTAATGTTTCTCATTATTTAAATAGACTGGATTCACAATTAAGTTTGGAGTTCTACAATGCAAGCATGCTTGAACACCACTTTTGTCTGTTGTCCTTCTGTTACTGAAATTTCAGGATTCCAGTATGTAGTAAGTCACAATGCTGAGTAAAAAAATAAAATTGTGAAAATATTTTTTCCAGCTTTACTTTGAATTCGAGATATTCAAGGAATTTTTCAGAGTGGTACATAAGGAAAAGCAGAGAGACTGCCAGAGATGAAAAATAAATATTTCTGGATTTCTGCAAAAGAGAATTATTTTAGTGCACCGTCTTGACAGATAAGCTTTAATCCTTGGTAATGTTGCCTTAATTTAACAGCACTACATTAACCACTCAACTCCAACACTGTCCAAGAGTAAAGAGAGAGAAGTGGACAAGAAAGATTTGGACAAGTCAAGGGAAAGATCCAGAGAGAGAGAGAAGAAAGAGGAAAAGGAAAGGAAAGATCGAAAAAGGGTTTGTGACTTATACATAACAATTTTAAACTGTGGTTCTTAAAATATGACGACAGGTTTCTGCAAAGTTTTTAATGACTGCTTCTTGATTTCACTAAGACAAAACAGGGAGCAAATTACTACAATTTGTGGTGCAAGGAGGCACTTCAAAGGAAGAAGCAGCTTTTAACAAATCAGCTCTCTTTAAGCATAATATTTAAACTATTGTTTTGGAGATCTATGTGTATTAAATTTATTAATGTTGTATCTGACTAGGATCATTCAAATAGTGATCGGGAAGTGCCTCAGGATTCAACCAAACGTCGCAAAGAGGAAAATGGAACAAGTACGTTCTCTCCTGCTTTTTCGTTCTTTGACAATGCTTAGGTGCTGATATGAGTGGCTCTATTTATGTAGCTTTTGTCTTTCCAGCTGGTTCTTCCAAACATAGTAAGAGTGAAAGTCCTTCAGATTCTCCTCACTCCAATGAGAAGGAAAAGGACAAAAGCAAATCAAAATCTTCCGGCAAAGAGAAAGGAGACTCAATAAAAGTTGAAAAGATGGAGAAAAGCTCTGGTAGCAAAAAGGCAAGTCAGACTCCCCCGGTTAGTAAAGTCATTGTCTTGTTCAGTGGATTTTAGGTAGCATATGAAGCTTGTCCTTCATAATAATAATAATTGCATTGAATATAGAGTTCAGATCAGTAGCTTTTTAATGAGTGTGTGTATGTGTGAATGCAAGCTTTCATTTTAATGTATGAAGTAGAATACAACAAACAGAAATTTTGTTTAGGAAGAGTAAATACCTTGTTCTTTTTTTTCCTTTCACTAACCTGGCCTTTCCCACTCCTGTGAAAGAAGAATCAAATGTGTTATGTATAAGTTATTATTTCTCCTCATGTTTTAAACTTGTTTTGTGTAGGAGTCCAGACATGATAAGGAGAAAACAGAGAAAAAAGAGAAACGGGATAGTACTGGAGGAAAAGAAGAAAAGAAACAATATCCTTTCACTGTGCCATTAGTCTTTGTGTCTGTTGGTTTCCCAAAAATTTAGAACAACCAAATTTCCCTTAATCTTTTGATTTACTCATAAGTCTTCAGACAAACACAGATAATGAACAATGTTCTGACCAAGGTGAGAATAACTTCTTGATCTTCTCTCTTCACTGGAGATGGAAAAGAGTCTGCCTTGCCAAGTGGATTGATGGAAGAGGTACAGAGTGATCTGTTCCCTCCTTTGCCAGTCTGCTACATTTCTGAGCTTCTTGTGGAGGAAGAGACTTTCCTTTCTCTGCAGCTAGCACAAAAATAAGGTGGACTGGCAGAGGAGGGATGGAGCAATCGGCTCCTCCTCTTCCGGCCTGCTTACCCACCTGCATGAAATTCCCAACTGCTTATAGCTTCTAGGCGAGTTGTTAAATACAGGGGTACCTCGGGTTAAGAACTTAATTCATTCTGGAGGTCTGCTCTTAACCTGAAACTGTTCTTAATCTGAAGTACCACTTTAGCTAATGGGGCCTCCCGCTGCTGCCGCACGATTTCTGTTCTCATCCTGAAGCAAAGTTCTTAACCTGAGGTACTGTTTCTGGGTTAGTGGAGTCTGTAACCTGAAGCATCTGTAACCCGAGGTACCACTGTATGGGGTTGTTGATCTGTGGCAGATGTAGTTGCTGATAGCCAAGTTAATGCCAACTGAGAAACTCAGCAGTCCCATATCCAGCTCCTTTAACATCATCTTGATGTTAAAAAATGTAAACGTTCTCTCTCTCTTCCTTCATAGAGAATGACTGCAAAAAAGCATACAAATATGTCAAACCACATTATATGTGTAAAAAAATAGTGCCGAATCCCAAATAGTAGTCTCAGAGGTTGCGCTATAGAGCAAGTCTCTGTAGAGCAAGACTCTATAGAGCTCTGTAGAGCAAGTCTCTATAGCCAAGACTAAAATCATACAGGAACCCATGGATTCGTTCTGTCACTTGTTTTAAATGAAAGCTTTCTATACCATCAATAACTGCTGTGCAGACTGAAGTTTTTGTCACTCTAGCTTTAGGTTCATTAACATAAGTCATTTTTCAAAAAGAACTCTCAAGTTGTTCAGTTAATAGAAAAATTCTACCAAGGTAGCCAGGTTAACCTGTGATCTCTTCAACTGCCTTGGTTGCACTAGTCTATGATCTCCGACGGGCTAGGGACAAAGGTGAAAGCTGTTTCCTAGTTCTGCTGGATCTCTCAGCGGCCTTTGATACAATCGACCATAACATCCTTCTGGACCGTCTAGAGGGGCTGGGAGCTGGGGGCACTGTTATACAGTGGTTCCACTACTTCCTCCTTGGCCGTGTCCAGAAAGTAGTGTTGGGGGATGAATCTGGGCTCTCACTTGTGGGGTGCCTCAGGGTTCCATCCTCTCCCCCATGCTTTTTAACATCCACATGAAGCCGCTGGGAGAGATCATCATGGGGTTTGGGCTGGGTGTTCATCAGTATGCGGATGATACCTAGCTCTACCTCTTTCAAATCGGAACCAGTGAAAGTGGTAAAGGTCCTGTGTGAGTGCCTGGAGGTGGTTGGAGGATGGATGGTGGCTAACAGATTGAGGTTGAATCCTGACAAGACAGAAGTACTGTTTTGGGGGGACAGGAAGCAGGTGGGTGTGGGGGACTCCCTGGTCCTGAATGGGGTAACTGTGCCCCTGAATGACCAGGTGCGCAGCCTGGGAGTCATTTTGGACTCACAGTTGTCCATGGAGGCACAGGTCAATTCTGTGTCCAGGGCAGCTGTCTACCAGCTCCACCTGGTACGCAGGCTGAGACCCTACCTGCCCATGGACTGTCTCACCAGAGTGGTGCATGCTCTAGTTATCTCCCGCTTGGACTACTGCAATGCGCTGTACATGGGGCTACCTTTGAAAGTGACCCAGAAACTGCAGTTAATCCAGAATGCGGCAGCTAGACTTATGACTGGGAGTGGCCGCCTGGGCCACATAATACTGATCCTGAGAGATCTGCATTGGCACCCAGTACATTTCCGAGCACAATGCAAAGTGTTGGTATTGACCTTTAAAGCCCTAAACAGCCTTGGTCCTGTATACCTGAAGGAGCGTCTCCATCCCCATCATTCAGCCCGGACACTGAGATCCAGCACCGAGGGCCTTCTGGCAGTTCCCTCATTGCGAGAAGTGAGGTTACAGGGAACCAGCCTTCTCGGTAGTGGCACTCGCCCTATGGAACACCCTCCCATCAGATGCCAAGGAAATAAGCAGCTATCCTATTTTTAAAAGACATCTGAAGGCAGCCCTGTTTAGGGAAGTTTTTAATATTTAATGCTGTATTGTTTTTAACACTTGATTGGGTGCCGCCCAGAGTGGCTGGGGAAACTCAGCCAGATGGGCGGGGTATAAATAAATTATTATTATTATTATTATTATTATTATTATTATTTATTATTGAAATGACCATACTGTGGCAGGGCCAGCCCAATATATTTTGGCACCTGAGGCGAACCACAAAATGGTAAACCCCCCAGAAGCAACCTTATCTGATGGTTGAAGTGTGAATCAAAGGCTGTTGTTTGGAAGAAAGGGCCTACTAAGAAATATGCTGGATAGGTGACCCCAGAGGGCAACCCCCACCATTTTCTCGCTAGGGGTGGGAGGAAACCAGCAGTGCCTCCTATTTGCCAAGAGGATGCTGAGGAGGCAACAGATCTGGTTTCCAGGAGCACTCCACACCTGTAGCTGCCACTCTGGCTGCTGCTGCAGCAGCAGAGATCTGCTGCCCCTGTGGATCATTCTGCCTGAGGTTATTGTCTCACCTTACCCCATATATGGGATCGCCTTGTATTGCCACATACATATTTGTGGGAAATGTCATTGAGACTTCGATTACGTATTTAAAGAAATGTCATTGAGACTTTGATAAATGCTGAGATTACTATATATCATGAATTCCATTTCAGTCAAAAGATAGAATTATGTATGCTAATACTTGAAATAATAATGGTAAAAGTTTGTCCATTTCTGATTGAAAGTCAACATGTTCAGATGTCAAGCTTTAACATGCTGCTTCAGCTATCAGTGGCTGCCCTGGTATTCTGTAAGTGTCAAAACAATGCTTACTTTGGGCATTCACGAGGTGAAGGGAGCTATCTCACTTTTTTTATTCTTAATCCATTTATCTAATTTAGGAATTCCGGAGGGCACTGGCAATCTTACCACTTGTCACGTTTCACTTCTAACATAAAAGTTGCACTCTTACTATATACAAAAGAAGGTTTTTGTTACAGATGGCGTTGCTCTCAGATTAAATTAAATTCCGTTTGTATCAAGTAATTCTCCCCTAAGTTACGACAGACTCCTTTTTCTACTTTTGCTCTTGGGCTGATAGTAGGGCTGTAACTGCACAATGGGGACACGTGGTGCTTAGTTTTGTGCAGTGTTGCATCTCTTCAAAGAGGGCTTAGTAAGAATTCTCTCCTGTTCATCTCTGGGAAGTAGAGCATCATTTCATGAGTCATGCTAATCCATTTTGGGCTTCATGCCACTGTAAAAACTGGGCATCTTTTTCATGTGCTTTGTTTATCTGAGTGAGAGCAACTTCACGCCATTCTGCTTGTTTGCAATCTTAGTTCTGTTAGTTTCGGCTCCTTATCCTTTATGAAATAGATTTAATTGTCCTGATGTTCTCTCTCTTTTTTAGGCAGGTTTGAAATGAGAAGATTCTGAGGTGTGACCATATATGTATTTTCCGGAATATACATTGCACAGAAGATTGCGAATGAAGAGGACCCATCTGCATCTCCTTAAATTATTCAGTTCTCTGCTTTATTTCCCTCCCATTGCTGAAGATTTGATTGTTGAGTTGTACATTACTGTATTTTTGTTGGTTAGCTTCTTAAACATTTATTTTCAGTACCTGGCTGAAAGTGTTACATGTTCCATATTTTAGCACAATGTGCTGCAAATTGTTGCCATCGTGCAAATGAGGTTTATACGTGTACAGAGTTTCACATTAGGTTACCCAAATACTGCCTGATTTCAGTAATCCTTTTCAGATGGAATTGAAACATTTGCTGTGTTTGAAAACCCAACAAATAAACAGTTGTTGAACCTTTGGAATTTACCTCATTTAAAATCCAGTTTTTATTTATTGTTTCTAATATCAATAACTAAAACCAAGTGGGAGCATTGTTTTTGTGCGGTGCTTAAGAATTATTTGTATATTATGTGCACAGCATTTCACCAGTTGAAAAAGAAAAAAAAAGGAACCCTCACTTATTGTTCCCCGCTACACCTTATATGTTTGTCATAATGGTTCTAGAAATTGGGAAATACTTCATTCCAAACAGAAATTTAAGAATTAGGTTTTCATACTACAGCTACAGGAGCTTTGTATCGCTGGACTTTAGTCAGGAAAAAAAAAACGTTTCACAATGACATTTCTAAGAAAAGTAAAACAATTTTTTTATCTGAAATTCTACCAGTGTAACCTTTTTTTCTAAATAAACAATAGTTTTCTCAATGGGTCGTAAATCATTGTGTGTGTTGCTTATTCAGGTGGTTCTGTGCTGTAATTCTAACTGTCATATACTTTTGTCCTCTTGAATCCACTTTGACACCTAATATATTTTTATTTTATTTTATTTCATAATTTAGTTTCATAAGCTTTAGGGAATATTGCAGCTCAAGCAGTGGTGCAGCTAGGACTACACCTAAAGCAATGAAAAACAGGGCCACAAAAAATGCAGTGCAAATGTTTGCTTGCTTTTTAAGGGTTTTGGGAACTACCGTATTTTTTGCACCATAACACTCACTTTTTTCCTCCTAGAAAGTAAGGGGAAATGTCTGTGCGTGTTATGGAGGGAATGCCTATGGATGGCGGGGGGGATCTGCTGCAGTCGTGAGCAGATCCATGGTTCCCCTTCCTTCCCTCCTCCGTGGCTCGCTTTGAAACAGGAAAGCAGGAGAAGAGCTGCTGAGTGGGGAGGAGAGAGGGACAGAGAGCCTGCTTGCTTTAAAGGAGCAAAGCGGGAGAAGAGGGGAGCCGCTTACACGAGTGTAAGCGGCTCCTGTCCGGTTGGCTCCTTTAAAGCAACCATGTCCCTCTCTCCTCCCCACTCAGCTCGCTAAATAGCAGCAAAGTTTTTCAGCGAGCGGGGAGGGGGGAGAGAAGCAGAGCCTGCTTGCTTCTCCTCTTATACCCCTCTTCTGCATTATTAACAGCATCCTTCTCCACCCACCCCACGCGTGTTCCTTGTCCCTTGAGTGCTTTTCCTTCCCTCCCCACTTAAAACGTGGTTACAAAGCACGGATCCACATGGATCCTCAGGATTTTTGCACTGGGTCACCCCAAATTCACCATCAGATCACATAGCATGTCCATGGCTACAGCTTGCACCAAAAAAATCACGCACCCACTGTTGCCTGGGGCCGCAGTGGTGCAAAACGTGGTTACAAAGAATGGATCCACATGGATCCTCAGGATTTTTGCATTGGGCTACCTCAAACTCACCGTCACATCACATGTCTGTGGCCACAGCATGAACCACAATGTTTCATTTAGAATATTTTTTTTCTTGTTTTCCTCCTCTAAAAATTATGTGCGTGTTATGGTTGGGTGCGTGTTATAGAGCGAAAAATACGGTATATCAAATTTGCCACAAGCTCACCATCACCATCTAGTGTCACATTTGTATAATGCACTTAAAACATCACATTTGCAGCTGTATAGCTGAGTCCCTTGCTGGAGTTCTGTTATGCTCATTGTTTACATAAATTCTGCCTCTCCTTTTGATAAAAGAAACCAGCTTTTTACCTGATGTGTCATCCATCCTCTATTTCAACCAAACAGTTTTGTCTTTACGACCAATACAGGATGGAGAGGAGCAGATAGAAACGCCAGTTCGTTAGCATGACTTTTAATATCTATGTCTATAATGAAAGAGGTGGGTTGGGAGCAGAGTCAAGAGCACCAAGAGAAAATTGTCACGTCTGCAGCAGTATAAAAGGGCTGCGAGGTTAAGTTTTATGTGGGTTTTGCATCTAAAATGATGTTCTCGTACAACACAAGAGCTTCCACAGAAGTGTACCCCACCATTTTTATGACTAGCACACTCACAAGAACTGCTAAAAAGGGGGTGGTGATGAAGACTTTCAGAGCGGATTTGTAATTGAAGTTTGGAAAAAATACAACCGGCTTGTTTCGCTTTGTGTATGACTGCCATGGATATAGCGGGAGAAACAACAGGTGTTGAATTGTTCTGGCTGAGTGAGGCCCATACTGTGCTTTTTAAAAAGAGCAACCCATAACTTGTGCATTGGATGGGTTTTTAAGAAACACACACCCTTAAACCAAGGGCCATTGAGACTCAGTAAAATCAATTCAGCTGTGCGCACAGAGATTGTTCTTTATTGACCCAGTCTGGAAAATAAAATTATGGACTGCCTACAAAAAAACAAGTGTCTGGAAATCAGACTCCTTTCCAGCTAATTTGTAATGATTTCTCTAGCAGAGAGGGGACGTAATAGGTTAAATGTTTAATTTTCTGTCTTTGTAGGGGGTTTTAATAAATCCAGGAAGCAGAGATACCCCTATTTAGAGCTTTGAATAGCTAAATTGTGTGCAACCTTTGCTCTTTGCACACAGCACCCCAGGCCTATTTTTTTTTGTGGGGGGTGTGTGTGTGTGTGAGCAAATCATACTTGAAGCTTTCTGTTGGTTTGTTCTTGTGGGGTTTTTCTTAAAAAAAAAATCTTAAAAATGATTCCCTTTTATGGTGCTTGAAATAAAAAGGCTGTGTAGTCTGCATCTCTAGAAGTCTATAGGCTTGTCTTAAAGCTGGGGGTGGGGAACGCAGAGCGGGCATTTTCTCTACTTTCCTGACATGGTGCAAAAAGAAAGGGTAGTAAGGAAATCGTCGTCATCCCCCGCAAGTCAAGCATATTGAACTGTATTTACCCTTAAGTTCCACTTCATTTAGGAACTGAAGTGATGTGGAAGATATGTTAAAGCCCAAAGAATGTGGTCCTCAAAAAATTTATTTGGATTGGGGGATGCTGACCATCATACTAATCTGTATTTTGGAGGTACTTATTTCATTAAAAAGAAGTGTCTGTAAAATATGTTTCTCCAAAGTAATGCCTGGTAAGCAGCTGAATGAATTTTTTCAAGGGATTTACAGCTACGCTGAATAATTCACTGCCAGTAAAAGAAACCTTTAAATTTTAGATGACCAGGGGCAAACTTTACTCTGGCATAGCCTAAATGACTTCATTTGGGACAGAAAGTATTCCAGATTTCACATTGCTTGATGGCCCATGTGACCGCAGCCTGATTGTCTTACATTTGTTTGTAATATGCAGATTGGTCATAAATCAGCATATTTCTCACGTGCTTAGATACAGGCCTGGTTCGCACACTAGTTGAAACCATAGTTAAATCTAAGTTTTGAAGTTGAACACGCAGCCTGCCAGTGCACAGTGCTTTTCTCCTCTGCACCTGGCCTGTGTTGCATCTGAACTCGGGCTTTTGAGTTATTTCTCTCCAAAGAAATCACAAGTTGTAAACAATGTTCTTATCTTGCCATTCATGGTTTGTCTGGGGAGAGAAGCACCCTCAGTTTTCACCCTGTGCACCAGCATGCACACCGTCTGCAAACCGTAACTATGGTTTAAAATGGGTGGGTGCTTCCCTAGCATGCAGCCAACCTCAGCATGACTTGCGTTGGGCGCCAGATTTAAAAGCAGCAAACATAAGCCTAACACATGGGTGGAGAAAGGAAGCGACACTTCAAGGCTCCTGCTTGTTCCTTTCCACCAGTGGCTTTCCCTGCCTGACACCTGATGACATATAATGTCAAGTGTGAGGCAGGTGGCTGTGGCTTGAGAAAAACAGCCACACAGGGTGAATTAGGACCCCTGGCAGACTGCATTTGGCCCACAAGCTGAAGGGTCCCATGCCTGGTTTAAATTGACGGGGATGAAAAGCCAAGGCAAATTGCTGGCATCCTTGGATTACTCTGGCACTGATTGACCCCATCAGACAAAATCTCTTAATTTGCTCAGCCTATATTTGGATCCCGTTATCTTCTGGCCACTTTGGAAATCATTTATCTGGTTGTGGCAAGTGGTGCTTTTCAACGCAGCCTCTGAACATTCAGTAAACGCTTTTCATTTATTGGCTAGAAATCAAAATGCAGCTCTTTCATTTACATTTGTTGATTCCTGGCAACTTGCATGTGCTGCCCTTCTCTGGAATTCAAAGCCAATATTGGCAAAGGAACCCACAAATCATTCAAAAAGCCTTGGCTTGATCTCCCACAAGCCAAAGACAAACACCTCTGCCTTCTAAAGCAGCTTGGGGGTGGGGTTTCTTCCAAGCCAACCTAAAAAGAAAGGAATCCAATTCATCTAGATTGATATGTAAGTGAATTTCTTATAGGGCTGTCAAACTCTGAAAGTCAGTGACATTACATTACAACGCCAGCCTTCCCCAACTTCTAGATATTGTAGGACTCCAAGTACCATCAGCCATAGACAGCATGGCTGGTGTCCAGGAATGTTCCAGGAGCTCCAGTCAAAACATCTATAGGTCACCAAACTGACGGAGGCTGCTGAGGTAGAACCACCAACTTGTTTCTGAGTCTCTCCTGGTCACACATTTTAAGCACATTACTGTACTTTCCGCAAACAATTTCAAGAACTATAGTTTTTTATGAAAACCTACGAGATGGCAGTGAAGGCCGCTAAGAAGTCTTACTTCTTGGCCTCTATTGTATCTGCTAGCTCTCGCCCAGTGCAATTATTTAGTATAATTACCGTATTTTTCGCACCATAGGGCGCACCGGACCATAGGGTGCACCTAGGTTTTTTTTGGGGGGGATCAAGAAAATTGATGTGGGGATCCATTTTGCAGCACAAGGCTAGGGTTAGGGGGGCTGAAGTGACGGAGCCCCAGACCAACCATCCCAAAGACATCTTCCTTCCAAATCGGGTTGACAAAACCTTCCAAATCGGGTTGACAAAAGCGCTGCTCTGCAAGCGACACAATGTATGTCTGCACTAATCTTTTTGCTGTCTTAAGTCGTGTTTGTGTGTGAAAACCGTCCTTGTTAAGTTGTGGGCGAACATATCAGATGACACAGCGATTCTTCAAACAGCTCTTCTTTATTCTGAGACCAGAACTGAACTGAACTGAGGAGCTCAGTCAGCCTGCTTATATAGAGCTGCAGAACAGTGTAACTGTTGCAACTTTCTAAAACTATCCAATCACTGAACGTCACTTTTCGACCCTTCATTTGCATACAAACTATCCAATCACTGAACGTCACATTTCGATCCTTCATTTGCATAACTATCTACAGTATCCCCCTGCTGGCCCAGGGTGAGAACTTCAGTACATAACAGTCCCCAGTGCAGGTGGGGTAACAGCAGCCAGGATTTGGGGCTGCAAAGAGGAAGGAAACAGACCATGTGGGGAGCGGGATTTAAATCCACACTCACGCGCTTAAACCCCGCCCCCCGTAAACGCTGCT